TGCTAATGCTACCGCTCCAGCTATTACCACTGCCAGTGCTAATGCTACCGCTCCAGCTATTACCACTGCCAGTGCTAAAGCTATACATCCGCTACCGCTAATGTTGTTGCTGTTGCTTCTCCACCACCACTGATAACTTTGCTCCTGCTATATCTGAAATGGCACCTCCAGCTGCCAGAGGATTCTGGTTGAATAAAAGCATGTCTGTCCTCCTGTCCAAATCTTAAAGCCTGGCTCTGCTCGGAAAAATGGCAACCATAGACTCCTATATACTCATATTAGTATTTGTCTCTATTAATGCTAATATTTGTAATTATAATAGACCTTTGCAGGTGCAGCTTTCATTGGTCAGATCTGGAGAGCTCAGTCAGTTCAGGCATGTTCAAAAAGCCCAAGATGCAGGGGTGTCTCTGTGACTGTACTCTCTGGTTGTCATCAGACAACAAGCAGTAATGGGGCTGCTGTGGTTCAGATCTGCGGGATTCTCAGCTGGAAAAGAAACTGACTGTGGTTGAGCGTCCAATCCGACACTGCAGAGACGATAAATGCTCCACACTTCGGATGCGCTTCAGCGCGAGTGCTCGCATTTGCATGCGAGCCGTGAAATTTGTTTACGGTGGTCTGCATGACTGCAATTTCCGACGGGGTGTGGGGGGTGCACGCACACTGTTTTCTGAAAAGGATAAAAATGGGGGAGACAAAGGAAGGTAGAGGAAAGTGAGTGTGGGAGAGAGAGAAGGACAGAAACTAGTAGAGAAAAAAATCATAATAGCCTATGTGGGTCTCATAAAACCCTCTCTTGGAGTGGGTCTCCTCTTTGCGGAAATTAACGAGGTCACGTTGTCTTCCACTGGTAACGTCTGTCACAAAGATCTGTGCTGGGCTGCACAAGAGAGCAGGGATAGACCTCTGACTGTCACAGGGATTGTGAGGTCTTTCCATGGTTTCGCTTTTACCGGAACGTTACTGACAAAAGCTAATAGCCATCATTGGACTCATTTAGCATGCGTGGCGTTTGATTAGCTTTTTATTCAGTTTACACTGGGATGCTTTTCAGATGGTTTAGCAGCTTAACTCTGGCAGCAAGGATTCCCACAAGTTAACCATGTATCTTCTCCAGACAGACCCTGTAAATATATCCATCTCTAGAAAAGCGTGAATATGAAAAGTCACTTTAGATGAAAGTTAAGATACTTTAGTTTATCACGCAGGGGTACAGCAGTTTTGCACAGCTTTGTTCATTAATTAGCTCACATGTCACTCTTTTTAATTGTTCACTCAAGTTCCTAATTATTTGAATAAAGTTTTTATCCACTATCTGAAAACAAAGAAAGACAACCGGGTTTGGGGCAAAACCTTTTTGATTTAAATCCACCAAATTTTTTGAAAGCAGTTGATTGTCCTGATCATTCAGCTCAGATCCTGACCATTCAGCGTGAAAAGATATATCTGGATCTCGATTTTTGAAACTAACATACTCAGAAAAGCATAGTTCTTAAAGTAGGTCTTAAATGCTAAAATAAAGGCTTTAGGTGGCCTTATATATACAGAACGTGGACAGAATACATATTGGATGTCACTTTTTGCTGTGTGACTGTTTATTGATATGCAGCATTTTTTAGTATTACACCACAATGAGGTTGCCTGAAATGGGCAGGGCGTGAAGCTCTGCCTTCTTCTCCTGCTCTTCCTGGTGTTTTTTTGTGTTTCCTTTCACTTCACTTTCACTTCACATCACAGAGGTCGTTTCTGTTTTATAGGATTATCGATTTTTGGAAAGCAGCCTCTGATTACTGTAGCTCATTGTTTCCAGTGTCAAAATCATAGCATGTGGTGAAGCAGGCTCCTGAGCATTGAGCCCCCTGAAGGGAGCCCCCTCACACCATCCTGTTTACCCCTCCTCTGCTATAAAGGCTCCCCTGCCATTTCTGTGTCTGAAGCCTTTGATCGTGTAATTGACCAATTATATGTGGCGAGACATTTTTCTGCCAGAGTAGCCAGCCATTGACACGTCACACTTCAGTGCAATGTCTCAGTTCTCAGTTGTATCCGGTAGCCTTCTGGCGCTCCAGCTTTTGTTGCAAGTCTGGAAAAAATTGCATCTCGGCTATTTTGGAACATTTTCAGGACTTTAAACACTGGGAGAGGCCTAATAACTATTAGCAGTTCTTATAATCCAATCCTGAACCTCACAGTAACCATTCACACACACAATGAGGATTTGCCTATCATCTGAAACATTTGACCTATAGGGCAGGACACACACTGAGTGGGATTTCAGATTATTACAGAGCCCCCATTATACACACATACTGTACTTTAATTTTGAAATGTGGGAGTGATCACAGCACCTCAAAAAGAACTCCTGACACATTGGGGCTATGGATGTCCAGCTCCTCTTACTCAATGCTGTCCTCATTTTAACTCCATTACTCACCAAATATCACCTCAAAACTGACTGTGTTGTAATGTTTCTTAAAGGCTTTTCCTCCATTGAATTGATTACTGTTTATAAATACCCCCTTACCAAGATGATACCACAAAGCAAAGGTCCTAAAAAGATAAGTGGCCATCAGCATTGAATACCTGGAAGGATTCAAAAGCTTTATTGCCTTTTGTACAAGTACAGTGAAATATTTGCTGGTCTACCTCCCTGCAGACTTATACAATACACAATGGTTAGCAATAATAGAATAACAAACAATAACATACAGTATACAAAATATACAATATACCAGATTTTTTAAGATTAATGACACATGGATTGTTTTATGGGCGTCGTTAGGTCCGATCACCTGTGGCTATAGCCCTGAGTATTTTAGCCCTGATGCCAGTGTTCCTTCAAAAATACAAGTCAAGCCCCTGAAGTCAAGACTTAGCCCCAGATTTTTTTCAATAGCTAGAAACGCTCCTAGATTGTTAGTTTCTTTTGCGCATCGTGGTTCAATGACGTATGGTGGCGTCTAGACCAGAATCGCATGAGCTACTGACAGCCATCTTTTACATCGACAGGAGGTCTCTCGTGGAGATGTTCCCCAAGTCAGGAAAGTCCATCGTCTTCGACCACTTTCCCGACCCCTCCGACACCTGGGAGATCATCGAGACCATCGGGAAGGGGACTTATGGGAAAGTGTACAAAGTGCTCAACAAGGCCAACGGGAGCAAGGCCGCCGTCAAAATACTCGACCCAATCCATGTGAGTAGGAGGCCTGCTTGAAGCTATCCATACTGTGTAAATAAAAACCCATCATGATACTGAAATACTAAGCATTTCTATTACACAAGGTATCTGTCTTCTCAGAAACAATCAGACAAGGTTGATAGAGAATTAATTTAGTTTTGCTGGAGTTATCATTAAAAAAATAAATGTGTGTGAGTCTTATCTGGTGTACCTGTTACAGGTTTGGCGTTAAGAAATTTAGCTATGTTTGATATCGGTGTTCTCAAATCACAGGCGATAAAATTTGCTACACTTTAGGCAATCTCTAACCCCCTGCTCAATTAGACTTACTGGTATTCTGAAGGGGTCAGCCTGCATTGCCTCTTCCATCCACCAGTTTCCATTCGTTTTATCACCCTTAGTATTGCCCCCGTAGGCTCCAATATTGTGTGTTACAGCTTTAGCTGAACTGCATTTTGAAGTAGAAAGAGATCTATTATGGTTCTGAGTGGATGAATAATTGCATGATGTAACAGGAGCCCACCCCCCCCCAGCTCAAACACCACCCTCACTCTCATCACAGGGCTATTCACAAAGAAAGGGTTTCCTTGTGGAGGGCTGTCACTCCTTTTCATCGCTGAAGGCTTCTCCATACCCATTTTTTAAGGATCTCTAAATTTTCCATGTCTTCCTCTTCCATGTCAGTACATTTTCTGGTTTCATTTGAGTTTTTCACTTGGTTCCCTGCTTTTCCATTACCATGAATCAAATAACACTGAGGCATAAACCTTGAGTTATAACCTAACATCTTATCCACATAAATATGGCATTTCTGCATGCTGTTGTTCCATTAGCTTGAATTATCACCCTACAGGCTGAGTACTTTATTTCTGTTTTTTTATTTTTATTTTGAGAAAGCAGAGTCAGCCAGGCTCTGGAGCAATTTGCGGGGGGGGGGGGTGTTATCAGCCTTGCTCAGGGGCCTAATAGTAAAACCACTTGGGTAGTCTTGGGATTTGAACCATCAACCTTCTGATCACAGGCACAGCACCTTACCTTACTGAGCCACACACCACTGCTCCATGTTCTAATAGCAAACTGTTTCCACTTCATTTTTCAGGCCCATTTCAATTAGTTGTTCTAATTTTCCCTCTCAGTAATTAAGCAATTGTACCATTAATCAAGCAATTTAGCATTAGAAGAAATGTCCACTGACATTTTAACTGATGTATTTATTTCTGAGGATGAGTAGCTGTGATGCTGTATTTGCTGATGATGTCACAGACTGGTTTAGTTGTCCACCAGTGATTACTTTATTGGTTCCCATAGAATTAAACTGGTCAGCACATGGTCACCCATATCTCCCTGGTTACAGAGTCCCAGATTCTTCCATCACTGTCTATTGTGTCACACTGAACAGATGTACTAGTATAGTATAGTACAGTATACCATAGTATAGCATAGTATAGTATAACTATCCATTCACCTTCATGTTGGGGTGCCGCTAGAGATTTAGGACCCCATGAAGACAAATCATGTTGAACCCCCAATCCAGAACAATCCTGTTATATTTAGGGCCCTTGTGACCCAGGGTCCTGCCTACAGCTATTCCTGCCATTGGTGGACTTGGCTCTGAGTGCAATTTTGTCTCCAAATGCAGGACATAGATGAGGAGATAGAGGCCGAGTACAGCATCCTCAAGGGCCTGTCGGACCACCCCAACGTCGTCAAGTTCTTTGGGATGTTCTACAAGAAGGACGTGAAGGATGGGGACCAGCTTTGGCTGGTGTTGGAGGTAACGGGGACCTGGGTCTCGTTCCCTTTTCACAGTGGGTCAGAAGCTATAGCTGCTGTTCCAGGTTAGAACAAAGAGAGAAAATAAGCAGGTAGAATTCTAGCCTGATACCTCCAGGGTTGTGGGTTTGATTCCTACACCTATGTGTGTGTAGGGAATTTACATGTTCTCCCTGTGTTTGTGTGGGGTGCAAACCCTCCCTACACTGTCTGCGTCTCCAGGGTATCGCCTTGGGCCCCGTGCTCACGTTGGGGTCGGAGGGTGTAAATTTGTTCATCAGAGTTAGTGACCATGTTATGTTTTTAAGCAGGTAACGTCCAAACACTGGGTTGTGTTGCATGTTCCGTGGCCGCGGAGGTCAGCACACTGATACCTTTCCTGTAATTGCTGACTAAATGCAGTTTCTCACAGTGTTTTGATGGAAATCCTTCCCAGGGGCTCCAGATTTCTCGCAGGGAAAAAATGCATAAAACGTTTCACACACACGGTAAAACCCATGCAGGTAGTTTCTCTATAAATATTATTCTTGAAATTTATGGTACTGAAGAGAACTGAGTAATTTTCTTATTTGACGCTGCCCGTTTATGATTATATACAAGCCTCAAAAATTGAGGTGTCCCAGTTAAATTTTGAAAGACAGTGGAAAAACATACCGTTTGCGTTTGACTGTGGTTCTTCACGAGCCCTCGGACATCTGTACGCAAAACACCAATGAAAAAAAGAAGAGATAGACAGCCAAAATCCAGGAGGCTAATCCTGACGCTGAAAATCAGCACCTGCCACAGTGATTTGACAGTCGCTATGGTTACCTCTCCTCCCTCCAGCTTTGGGGCCTGTGTGGGGGGGGGGTGCACCAGTGACGCATATTCTCACTAAGGGGGGGGGGTTCCATGCAGCCTCCCCATTCCCAGCGGCCGCCTGTACGCGCTGCATGCTGCGCCAAGCCTGGTCGCCTAGATAACCACGCGATTTGGGCATAATTAACCGCAGGGATTGTGGTCGTATTTTGGAAGGTATCGAGGGCACTGGAGCTGTACTCCCCATGCAGTTACATAACAGCTGAACACGCACGACTGCATGCCGCATGGGTGACAAATGTCAACTTGCTTTAAATGAACTGTTATCAGCCACAGTGGCTACAGTTCTTTTATTGCATCTAACACTTATTTTACTCTTTCTGTTTTTCTTGTATTGTTTTTCTGCTGCTTGATCTACTTGCAATTTTATTTTTTATTGTGATCTGTCTTTTATATTTTAACTGCTTTTTAAATACTGTGTAGTGCATTGGGTATTAGAAATGCAAGTTGCTAATAAAATCATTATTATTATTACTATTATTATTATTAATAATAATAATAATACTAATATTAACAGTAGTAGTAGTAGTAGAGGTGGTGGTAGATTTCCTCATTACTTTAAAACAAACCATTTTAATATTCAGTTGAGTTTGTTTCGTATGTTTTTACTGTATAAGGAGCATTGTCACCATGCACATATCTGAGGTGCCTAGAGAGAGCCTGAGGTGACAGTGGCAGGGAGAAGCCCACTCAGGGACAGAAAACGGCCCAGGGAGGAAGCAGACACGGGGGGAGCGTCGTCCTCCTCTCGCAGTATGAGTTTACATCGTAGTAGTAAATACTTTAGAGCTGCATATTAATAAAGGAGAAAGGTAGCGGCAGATGAGAGGCATTGGATGAAAACATTTGTTCAGCATTATTCAAACCCACGCTATATTCATCCCATTTTTAGTTGTTTAAATGACGTCATTCATTGTTGTGGTTCCATTAAACAGAAGTTAATGGCTTATTTTCCCTTCCGTGGATTGAAAATAATTGTCATAAATTGATATTGCAGGCCGAATCAGTCAAATGTTCAATCTGCCTAATTTAATTAAATTAATGAACACTGCAACTCTCAGAAAAGGATTCCAAACAAATTAATATAGCTGCATTTTCTGTTTGATAAAAAAATATATGTTCTTTTTCACATGATTTAGAGCTTAAGGGCCCAATGGTGAAATCACTCTGCTGACGCTGGGAATCGAGCCATGACCATTTGATCACAGACACCCCTTCCTAACCTGCTGAGCCACACACCACCCTCGGAATTACAGATTTGGTTCTATCCTTGTGGAACGTGCCATAACGTGTGCTGTTTGACCATTAACAACAAAACAGGAAGGAAGACTTTTCTCCTTTCTTGTGCTTCGTGCATGATGACCTGTGCCATTTGCCTATATGTGTCCACAGGCTTAGGGAGTGTCCCCTAACCAAATCGTTCAGGTTTCATAAGGCACATTTACTACAGTTTTTTGGTCCTCACATTGTTCAAGTCTATTTTCACACAACATCCATTTCGCTACAATCCCACTCTTCTGCATTTATTCAATTCTGGTCCCTGTCCATCCGCTCTAGTCGAGTTTTAGCCCATCCATTTGGTTACAGTCCAGATCCCCCATCTTAATTTAATCCTGATCTTTGTCCATTCATCCTGGTTAAGTTTTAGCCCATCCATTTGGTCACGGTCCAGTCGGTTGCCAGCGACGGGTAGGACTGTAATAGCAGACGCTTCCACCTGCTTGGATCTTCTCCCAGACGCCCATTTCTCTTTTCCCGGTGAACTGGGCTGCACATTTTCTCTGTGCAATGCATTAAACTGTGGAGCTCTTCATTAGCAGAGAGATGCACGTTATTATTAAAGCCCTAGACCACAGAACGTGCTGATAACGTGCAGCTGCGTCTCCTGAAAGCCCGTTACACGTTCTTCGGCACACCACTGCTTTGACGGCAAACAAGTCAGTGCTCGGCAGAGAGATGAGGTACTCTCAGAGTCTCGGAGTCTTGGAGATGATAAAATTACGTCCCCAAATTACCCTGATCGCACGGGGAACTGTATCCCTTGTTTTCTCGTTGTGCGATTATAGTTCGCGTTTCTTTAACAGAGCAATAGTTAAGCTATTGAAATGATCAGTTTCATATACAACTATACCTTCACTGATTCCTAGACTTTGCAAAATGACCCATGATCCAATGACTTAAATAGAATTGTATTGAAATTTTATTTGTCATTTGCACAGATACAAATGTGCAAACATGCTGGAATTCTTGCATGCTTCCCTTGGTCATGGTTTAATAACAACAGACAAACGCATAACGACAGACAAGACTATGACATATAGAAAGAAAGATGTATTCAGGTTCTTAGCATGAAATTAATAGATAAAAAGATAAACCAGTTTCTTGATAGATGAATGAGTGTCAGAGGCCATTGTCTTTTGTGGTGATATCAATTAACAATGAGGTTTGTGTTTGGGCCGTCTGACCGGATGTCAGTAAAATGTGGACAGTGGCTGTTTGCCGGGTAGATGATAAGGGGGGGTCGTCTGCGCCTGGCAGCTCGAGGGCGACCATTTAGTCACAAGCCTTCCAAGATTTTCACCAACATATCACTACAGAAGAAGGGCTGACATGAGAGATGTTGGATAAAACATCCTCACAGAGGTACAGGGGGTGTCAACACTATTTATTTCTCTCCTTAGCAGTTTAAGTATGCACTAAATCCCTGATTAATGTCATCTTCCGGGAAACTTCAGCAGATGCTAAGCGGTATTTATGACAGACAGTGTGTTTTAAAACAAATGTAGTCTGAACTGCTGTACGTATCCTGAAACCTTTTTCTTCCATGTCGGATGTGTCAGGTCTGAGAGCTATGATATGTAATCGATTTACTGTAAACACACGGATTTTAAAGGTCAAACACACGATAAAATTAGCTTCCGCTGAAGCTGCAGTGGCTAATTTCTGAGGGAGGAAAGTCCATTGATGGTGGCTCCATTTTGATCTTTCGTTTCCTTTGATGTGCCCGGCATAATGTATTCATTTCTACCACCTGCATTTGTAAGGCAATGAGGTGATTTTCAATAGCAAATGTTCCCGTTGCTGAAAATTTTTATTCCAAAGCAGTCTGCTGAAACCCTATGATGGACTTTGTCTGTAGGTCTCATATTATTAGTTTTCGTGCAATAAATAAACAATTATCGATACCGAATTTGACCTTGATATGTAAAACACGGAAAGCAGCAGCATGTCAGGAGAGGATGCTTAGTGACGGCTTGCGTGGAGCCTGTGGTGCCTGGGGAGATTTTAAGAAAACGGGGGGAATTAAAGTGATGGGTTGACATTAATAACATGCCCCCAGCAAAGTGAAGGTAATTGGAAATGATAAGCGTGAGGACCAAAAATAAACCAGCATCAGTCACAGATACATGTCAGCGTTACTTTACTCTTCGCCAGGGCTGTAGTACTCGAGTCCGGCCTCAAGATGTTCTTCTATTGTCTTCGACTCGTTGGTATTTGCACTTGGATTTGTCGTGGACTTGGCTATTGGAATAGTTGGTGTTCACGGAGTACAGCTGCCTGAAATTTTTTTTCTCAAGTTTACATTTACATATCGTTTGCATTTACAGCAAACTACCGCGGTTGCTTTGTTTGTTTATCTGTATTAGTATTAGAGTATTAGAGACCCCAGTCAGCATGCAGTACCGATCAACAATAAGCACAAAAGGGAGCTTTAGCTCTGGTTGTCTTTTCACCTTCCGTTAAGTAGTGTAATTGTTCTATTCGTATGCTTTTGTACAGTTATAGTTACAGACTTTCCACCTAATTAAACTTGTATTTTTGTATAATTCATTTGCCAAAAAGAGACAAAAACACACAAAAAACAAATGTAAATATGAATTTGATTGATAGCATTATTACTATTTTGTTCAAATTTTCTACAGATAATAGTATCGTTATCATGAATTCTATTGGCTATGATAATCGTGTAGTGAGAATTTGATACCGGGACAGCCCTAAATGTTTTCATTGAGGGAGTCTTCACACCTGGGTTTGAACAGCTGACCTAAAGGTTGTCCCAAAAACTTGCATACACTCTGGTCCTTTGCGGATAAGATTGGCCACCCCTGTTCTAAACTAAAAGGTTTTAACAGGTAATAGTTGTTCTGTATGTTTATTGTAAGACTGCTAATCAGTATGTTTACTGCATATACGTTATAATCTTGGGCCTATAAAGGATCAGCACAAATATGGTACATCACCCTTTTCTGTCAGGATGGGTACTCGCCTGTCCCTGTCCCATGTGTCTTCTCCCCATTTGGCCAGCAGCCCCCGCTGGCCATCCCGTTTGGTGTTACCCAAGCATATTTCGCTGTTCCCTGGGCTGCCATATAACTATGTGGGGTGAATCTGTGGCTATGGACCAGGCATCATCACCATGGGCCAGTACCAATTTTGTTACAGATTTTTGAGTTTGGTTTTGTCCCTTGTTAACTCTAATATATTGGGTTCTTGCATTTGTGCCTTTGTTTATGATTTATCCCTCCTTTGTCTAGTTTAGTTATGTTCTGTTTTGCCTGTGCTCCATATATCCTGCGGCGCTTTTCCACCACACCAAGTACGGTACTTTTGGTACTTTCACTTTTCCATTGAGTTCCAGTTAAGTACCAGTACAAAAAGTTCCAGTAATGAAAGTACCAAACCAGCTGGGGTACTTCTTTGGTACTTCGATACTTTGTATGTGCATAACATGCAATGTTGGTATTAATTTTGCACATCGCCAAGCCGTATAATATACTACAGCCATTTTTCGAATTCAATACAAAATAACCTCGCCTTGAGTTGTGATGTCATTTGGAGCCGATACCAGTTTTTACGCCAGTGGAAAACCAACACCTTGAAGTACCGTACTTTTGGTACTTTCTCTTTGATACAGTGGGAAAATGCCCCGAGGGTTTTGAATTTGTGAATTTGATTGTGATTCCCCTCACCTGTCCCTTGTTATCTAAATTCCCAGTGTTTAGATAATTGTCTATGGCCCACACCTGTTCCTCCTCCTGCCTCATTAGTTGTTGGTTAATAAACTGTATTTGTTGAGAACCGCTACATAGATTGTCCCTCTTTCTTCAAGCCCCACCTTTACACTTTTCTGGGTGGGGGTTATGTGCTGTTTTGTCTCTGGAGCGTATTGAGTTTGATATCAAGTAAAGTGGCAAAACTTAAAGTAAATAATATGGCCTAATTTGACCCTACAGTATAGTTATACTGCAGTTGATTTTTATTCATAACAAATAATAGTGAAAAAAGATCATTTTAAAATTGAAGATATACAGTACCATGTCTCTAGCGTCACACAAAGATTATAAACAGGTAAGTATAAATGGTCTGAAAGAGGATCATTTGGTCTTGAGCTAGAATCGAGTAGTCCTAGTCTTGGACCTGTCTTAGACTGGATGAAGGTGGTCTTGACTACACTGCTTTGCCCTTTGCTTACATTTGTCTGTAAAGAAACATGGTAACTGGGACTTCGCCATGAATCAGGAAGGTGCCATTTTAGTGGTTCGTGTGCTTATCTTACTAAGAAATATTTTTAGGTCCACCGGAAGATCTTTTCCGTACGGATTTCACGGTTATCTCCATTAAAATGAATGAGATATCTACTGACTTGTGCAGAGCGAGTAAACGTGGGACATAAATTATCCCCTGGACGTCATTAAAATACAGTCTGACCGTATAAGTTCTCTGATATTTAAGTTCAGTTGCTGTCCTACATAAAATACCATAACCAGAAAAACGCGAAAATGGCGTGTCATGACATCAGTACGAAGATTAAGAAGTGTTAAGTGCGTTTTATCACTGTGAATTATTTGTTTGTACAGTACGCCTGGGACAATTCAGAACTCCCTGTGGTTTGCTAAATTAAATGGTGTAAATGGCCCGGGAAGCATAAAGAAAAGAGCACGTCTGAGAGTCGCAATCAGCCCCCGGGGGATGCTTGTAATGAGCTTTCCGGTATCTGGGAATTCAACCCAAAATGGCCCAGAGGCACCCAGCTTTTCGTATTGCACAGCCTGTACACCAGACCTTTCGTCTAATAGGAATTGTATGCATTTAGATATCATGATGTTTGCCAATATACGCTTAATCATTTTGATGTTTCATGGAGTGATCTAGTTGTTCCCTGGAGATTATGAAATCTGTTTTATTCTTACTAAAACTATATTTTTATTGCATTAATAGAAGAAAGTTCATAAGCTAGATCTTTTAGATGTATTATGACAGACGTAAATTCAAAATATCATATGTGGAATTAGACGCCTGTGCTTTGTGATTGCATTCCACAAAATTTCTCATGTTTTGCTGGACAAGCTGCAGAAAAAAATGTCTTATAGCGGTGTTATGATCTTTAGAGGAAAAATAACTGCACCTAGTTATTGTAAACGATGAGCAAAAGTAAAGCTTTCCCCAAAGGCGTGTTTCATTCACCTATTAAATTAAGTCAATAAAGTTTCATCTCAGCATTTAAGACTACAGAACTAAATAAATAAATAAACAATTACTGAACATTAGACCGTAAACTTTTACTCGTGCTCATTACCCTTATGCGCTTTACTCAATTTTTCGAGCCTAAAATTATGAATACACATACAATGACTCCTCAGGCACGTCCCATGAGAATACAATTATTTCACAGCTGATAATTATAATATGATGCAATAACTCTATTCATGAAATCGGAGTGATGGTTTAAGCGGAAACGAAGACCATTTTCGGTACGTTTGGATTTAGGTTCAGCATGTACACATACGTATAAGGTGGCTTTTTGTGTGTGATCCGGTAATCGTTCTGTATCAGAGCTGGGTCTCATTAAATGGCATTTATTTCTCATTTCTTTTGGGGCAGGCAGCACAAAATTGCTGGTTATCGTTGTTGCCTTGACAACATGCCAGACCATTTCATGCAATTTTCTTAAAAGGCTTTCGGCACACTACGAAGTTTAGTATGTCTTTCATAAACAAAAATACTGCTTGTGATGCAGCTTCTGTTTACTTCATGACAGCACAACAAAGACGGAGCAAATGTGATTTCGTAGCATTAAAATAATTAATTTTCAGTGCAGCTCAGTTCATCATTATCAAGAGATAATTGACTGCAAATTCTGTGGAAAAAAAATATTTCTACATTTTTTCAGTTTTATTGAATACTATGAGGACGCACTGGTACAGTATATTTGGGTGTTTTGTTGTGATCTAAACCAAATTATATTTTACAAAAAATGATCACGATCCTCAGTTGAGTCCTGTAAAACAATGGCATGGTGCAGTACACTGCTTTTCCTCCTGTACACAGGGAATTATCTGCTAGCTTGGCTAAAATGCAAGACAAGAAAAAAAATGCAGTTTTGCATCTTGGTGCTTATTAAGGTTTGAAACAATGGTCATATTAATTTTGAAATTCAAATTTCCTATCATAATGATGTTTTTAAAATATGAAAGATACAAAATTAAATAAAATTGGAACATGACTGCCAGAGATAATCTCTACTCAGTCATTGCATACCTGTACTTATACCTCTCTAACAATGAAGCCAATTTTTAAACCAGCAGTTATCTTAGTGTTGTTCATGATGTTCACTGCATCCATTGCTTAGCTGACGAGCCTCCTCTTACAGTGTAGTCTGAGTTATTACCTGTGATTTCTGTAAAAGACATCAGAGAGCTGGATTCATGTGACGATGAAACGAATAATCCAACTCAATCAAATTACAGAACCTTTTGTTAATTTATTATTAAAAAATATTCTTGTTAATTCTGTGTTCTCGCACCCTGTGGTAAAATAGCAGAAAGCCTGGTGAACTAACAGGGTGGCTAATTCAAAGATACAGATAAGATTTGTCATCCAAAATCTGAGCAAATCCTTCTTATGGAAATGTATTTATATATATTCTATGGTTGTTTTTGAAAGATAAGCTCTTTAAAGGATTGAACAATTTACGGAATGTGTTTAGAATACGGTTTCGCCTGACATCATGGAAGGTTCACTCTGAGATCTAAAATGCGAGCCAATTGGAGATGAATTAGATACTACTGCTTCAGATTTAACGTCTCTGGCTTCTCATCTTGTGTTGAGTCATTCCCCTCCTCTCCTTTTCCTTTGTAATCCCAGCTCTGCAATGGTGGCTCCGTCACAGACCTTGCGAAAGGCTTGCTGAAGAGGGGTGACAGAATGGACGAGGCTGTAATTGCCTACATCTTGCATGAAGCTCTCATGGTAAGGAGAACGGTGGGGGGGGGGTAAATTACAGAGCATGAAGAACACGAGGCATGAGTACTGTCCACCTGGCAGCTGGCTCCTTAGTGCCCCCCTCCACTCAATATACACATTCTACACATGATCTATATGTGTTCTCTTGCAAACCCAACGTCTTCTTTTGGGTGCAGCTTGTAGACATAATGCAGTGGTTCTGTGTCTTTCCCCTGAGGAAAATGTGCGGTATATAAAAATTATTAAAATTTGGACTCAAAAATATGAGCTTCCATGGCAGATAAGGCCCCATGACATCCCCAGGGGAGCTGGGAGGAGGTGTTTGGCTAGTGTCTATGGCCCCTGCTGCTAATTGCTAACTTGGTTGTCCGAAAAATAAGGTGGAATGCTCTGCTCCTGAATGCACTCTTCAGGACACCGCAGGCATTATCTGAGAACCACAGACCTGCCTCATAAGTTGCTTTCACACCGACCGGAACTTTTTTTCTGGAACTAGGACTTTTTTTGGAGCAAGGGACTTTTGTCGTGTTTACACCACTGGAACTCGGCCCGATTGTATCTCCTCGGAGGTACTGTGTGTTCAAACACGAACTACTGGAGAGGCACTTACAGTAATACCTTGATGATTAACCACAAGCACCAGTGCTGACTTAGTTATGTGTAAAAAAAATAAAACTAGTGGAGCAAAAATTGAGCAGTTAGAATTATTTTTGTACCCCAATTACATTTAATGCATTAATTAATAAAAAAATTTCTTATGTCTCCATATTTCTTCATCAGAAAATTCAGTCGATGACCAATATACTTTTGTCTGATATTGTTGGGTACCGGCAGTGAAACTTGTCAGCACTTATTAGCGGGATAATGTTACATCATTTTTTATTCTGTGATAAACGAAAGATTGAGCTGCTGGTCAGATTTAATAAGAATCATGAACATGTATAAGTAAAATAAAATAAAAAGCTGTGTCCCATTTTGATCATGATCAATCCCTCCATAAATAACAAAACAACCTATTTATCCTTCACTGTTTTGGTGTGGTGGTGTAGTTTCGCATGAAATTATGTGAGGTTTAACTTTTTGAGTCTTCCATACTTATTAGGTTCCTGTTGTGTGGTGTGAAAATGACACACAAAAGGGGCCAAGAAGTACAAAGGTCCCCAGTCGAGCCCAGGGACTTGTAAACCGGCACCAGGCTCCGGAACTTCGGTGTGAAAGCGCTTATGGTTTAGAGGTCATAACCCCCCCCCCCTCACAGCATTCTTTGGTTTCACCCCTCTATTAAATCCTACAGGGACTCCAGCACCTGCATGTCAACAAGACGATCCATCGTGACGTGAAGGGGAACAACATCCTAGTGACGACTCAAGGGGGCATCAAGTTGGTGGACTTCGGTATGTGTCAGCTGCTGTCCATCCCTGCCCCTCTCGGGAGGGTGGTAATGTGCCGTGCATCACCTCCTCTGTTGGGGGCTAATGGCCGCTAAGAAGAATCCAGGGACCCTCACTGATGAAATGCGGCCAGTTCCCTTGCTGAGGGACGCGGTGCTTTGTGGTTCAGATCTGCTGGACATGCCTTGAAAGCTCAAACGCTCTCCGGAGCTCTCTCTCTGGACCTGCTGCTGAAATTGGCTATCTAATAGGGAACAACTGCGATGAGTCACAGACATTCCTGCTGACACAAGTTCCTAATGCCTCTTTTCTTCCCAGCAGGAAGGCTGAACGTTCATAAAAACTCCACAAAGGGATTCAGGCTCTGTCAATCAGCACAGCCTCACATACAGAGTGCATATCCTCCTGAGACCCGACCCATTCATTTATGTCCATTGTAGTGGACATTGTATTTTTGCATTCATTTTTTCACTGATGTTGGGAAACATATTTATCCTTGTTGTGCACTAAAGAGGACATGCTGTGAAATTAAAATAAGAATAAATTTGAAAAAATCTAAATTGTAAGATGTCTTATTTCCTCCAAAGACAAATAACCTACAATTGAAGGACACTTTTTTCCTTGGGTCTCAGGAGGATATAGACGTTTTAATTGAAAGCAGCTAATTATTCTGTTTCCGAGGTCACACATTTTTTGGTTTAGTGTAGCTGATATGAACTGTGCTTATTAGAGAGTTGATTAATATGATTCTGATGCACAGGATATACAGTCTGATAAAATATCTAATTTGTGTAATCACAGGTAGCGGAGAGATGAAAGGAATTCTGAGGATTGGTTTGTGGAGTCTCTGCCGTGAGGATAGCGAGAGTGAGGAACAGAGAGAGAGAGAGAGAGAATGAAAGAAGTGATGAGTCATAACATTTAAGCTTATCTGTAAGAGTCAGCTGAGTGATTGTCTCTGTCCGGGGCTCTTCATAATGGGCCGGACATTTTTTTTTCTTGGCGCTATTGCAGAAACATTGGACCGAGTTATCAGAGACCCGGCCAGAGGGGCTTCTGGTTGCCAGCGCGGTCGATTTGTGTGAAAGGGCTTTTGTGTTCGCAAGATCAGTTGCGGCCACGTGCTGCAATTTGGTTTGTGGGAAGCCCTCCCTTTGCTTCCTGCGATGAATATGCACATCCACATTATGACATCGAAGTGTAACGTTTTCACGCGGTAATTTGATGTTAATTTTGGCAAAGTGCGTATTTCAACTTTTGTGCTGGACGATATTCGTCAGACACTTGAATTTTAGGATTACGGTAGTAGTGTGCTGGGAGTGCTGTGTGGTTCTGTGGCTTACACTGCTGTGTCTATAATGGTCACCAGTTCTATTCTCCTGATTGGCAGAGTAATTTTACCATTGGGTTCTTGAGTAAGGCTCAAGGGACTGTCAGACCCTGCTTTCTCAGTTGGGTCTTGCTTTGGAAAAAAGCATCAGCTAAAATGAATGAATGTACTTTAATTTATCAGGGGAATCTGAACCTATTGTACTTCACCATACAATAAATAGAGCACCAAGACTTCTGTATGTTTATCTGTTTTCAGATGCAATGAAAATGAAAACAATTGAATTAATATTACTACAATTGAATGGTCATGCCATGATATCTTACACTGTCAGGGGCTGAATGAATGTTCATTTTGACTGAAATGTTTAATAAATTTTTCTCACAAGTAAATACCTACATTTTGTTATCATGCATTATTTCTTAGTGTTTTGGGAAACTATGGACCTCAAAACCTTATTAAAACCAATTAATTTTCTGAAAAGGCAAATTCAGATTTACAGTTACTGCGTTTGCTTGTGAATAAATGTTTTTTTCTGCTAATTCCATTGATTGTGGGCATGGTATAATTAACTAAAGTGCAGTAATGGCCGGCAGCATCATGCAGGCAGGTGGGGCAGACACCACCTTGCGGGGTTTGTCTCCTCCGGCTGCCTCCATGCCGAGCGGGGGGGTGGGGGTTGTGGGGCATGAAGGGGGGGGGGGGGGGGGGGGGGGGGACTGGGCCTCCTTCCTGACACGTGGCCCCTTGATAATCTCAAGCGTGAAGCTGGGTGTCTTTTTTTCATTGCGGAGGGAGCGTACGGATGGCTGCCCCGTGGAATTGATGAAGCCCCCGCAGTGACTCATCACAGGAGGAGAAAAAAGACATTATTTGGTGGGGGGGGGGAGGCAAGGAAATGGAAAGCTTTCCAGTTGGCCCATGAATATTCTAATTGACAGTGTTATGTTGCTGATAATTGCTAGGCATTGTCCCAGGACCAGGCTAATTGCTAATGTGGTGCAAAGGCCTCAGTACATTGCTGGCAGATGGTATGTAATGCAGTACATATGTGTTACTTATGTATAATGTGTATATGTATCACATATACGTATTTGTATCTGCAAAATGCATGTTTTTGCCGGCATTCTTTCATCAAGAAGAACCAACTTTTGTAAGAACCCTCTGATTTCTCTATAAGCTTATTTTACTATTGATGCCGTGTTATTTTAGAGTCCTGATGAGTGGACTGTTTGTGATTTCTGATTGGTCCGTGTTTGTGTTTCCCATGGTCTTTTGATTGCATTGACATTGTAGCCAGTCCACTCTCCATTTAGTTCCCATATATGCTATCCTGTAGTTGCCATGGTAATTGAGAACTTTCAGCGATGTGAGCGATTTTACAGAAGAAACGCTAAAGGACCATCTTGGACAAAAACATCCCCCAATGAATCTTCACCTGTCTGATCACCTTGACACCTTGGCATATTTACAATTTAAAAAAAAATCCTCTGTGCCGCATTAATTTGAATGACTTTGATTTGCGCCCTCTTTCAGTCATGTTTAAAGTAGTACAGAGGCCAAGCTTTGAAAAGCAAAGCACCTCCATCCTTTGCATGAAAAGCAGCTGCTGTGTGGTCGGTATCTGCCAGACTGCTCGATGATGTCATCTGTAATGGCCGGTTTAAAGGCCATGTGAATCCACAGTGGCCACATACCAGTTTAGTGGCTTGGCCCAGCTACGTTTAGGCATTGATTCTGTGGATGTTGAGCAGGACCCCTTGAAATGCTGACTGTAGATATCGCACTACCTAGTCTTAGGTAATGTCACAGTAAGATTAATTTTTTATTGTGAATGCTTATAATCCTGAATGTTAAAGAGATACGATTAATTTATATTAATTGATCAGCAAGCTTGAGGGCCACAGTAGCAAATCACAGCCACCTTGAGCAGGAGTGAGTATACAGGTCAGAAATACTATTTCTGAATAGAATCCCTATATAATTTCCCCGGCCCCCACGCTCAGAGTCGCTGTGGTCCCTCACACAGGTGTCTCTGCCCAGCTGACGAACACCCGCCTTCGCCGGAACACCTCAGTGGGGACCCCCTTCTGGATGGCCCCGGAGGTAGGTCCTGCCTCCATTGGGGGCCCCCTCCATTATTATGGAGGCCACTCACGACCCCCCCCCCCTTTTTGTGGGTATCTCATACATTTGGCCAGTGTTTCCCTCCCAGCTTCCAGCCACAGAACACTGAATACCTGGTACTGGTGCGCTGGGGGCTGGGAGGGAGCGAAAATGTGGGCCGTCTGGGGGTCTTCAAGGACTTGGTTGACAAATACTGCATTAGAGCATAAATAACTACATATTACATGCACATGGATTTGGGGCATTCAAGGATTCATCCAGCCACTGTCTTAATGCGCTCATTTACATATTTTTATTTATTTATTTTTTTTATACCCCATTTCTTATATATTTATATAAGTGCATTTGTCTGACCTTTGCATATTTGACATTTTTTATTTACCGTGCCCTTTAAAGGTAATCATTTTATGTACATGTGGTATTTTTTGCTTTTTGTGTTTCTTTTAAATATCTTTCCCTATTTTCCTCTGATTGAAACTTTTCGTATATTTACATAATCTTTACATAGTGATATGAAAGCTCAACAGACATTGCATAACCTATTTAAAACTGATTTGAAAGAAAAATCCTGGTCTTAAGGGCGTACTGGCAGTGGGCAGCGTCTTTGCACAGGCTGGGCGTTTTACATATGCAGAGGAGCCTGAGAAATTTTCTTAGACATACAAACAATGATAGCTGCAGTAAGAGCCTGCTTTTCCTGGTCATATCCTGGGATAGGGAGCATTGTGATTTCATCCATCATGGAGGGCAGACAAGAGACCTGAAGGTCAATCATCTCAGGATCTGTATTTGCTTCAATCGCAGCGGCGTTGCTGCTTCTTCCAACCGTATCGATGGCTTTGACAGCAGCTGAAGTGTCAGGATGGAGAAGCAGTCAAGCGTTCGAAACAAGGAGGGACCCACAATGAAATCTTGAGTATTTATGATTAGAGAAATCAGGTTTCTTGACTCTTAGGACCTTATCTTTCCTGCTTGTGTTTTTATCAGCCATTTTTGCAATTCTTTGCTGGTGATTTTCAGTTTTTTTTTTTGTGTGAAAGGGGTCAGCCTCATTAATACCCCCGTCGTTTTGCACTTTTGCCCGCCCTGTGCACACTTGGCCTTGCACGGACCAGGGGTGCCTCAGGTTTTCACGGAGTCGTACTCCTCTCCCCCGGCTGCGCTGCAGGTGATCGCATGCGAGCAGCAGCTGGACTCCACCTATGACTGCCGCTGTGACGTCTGGTCGCTGGGAATCACTGCCATCGAGCTGGGAGATGGGGACCCTCCGCTGGCCGACCTCCACCCAATGAGAGCCCTCTTCAAAATCCCCAGGTAATGGCTCTCACCCCATCGTCCACTCTGTGTTCATCCACAAGTGGCTGTAGGGGGCATGTATGGCTCAGTGGATAGGCTGCTGTACTGGGTATCAGAAGGTCAGTGGTTCCATTCCCATGCTTCAGAGACAGGTCAACCCTGCTCTCATAGTTATGCATTGCTTTGGATAAATGCATCTAATAGACAAATGTAATGTAATGATAAACAATCAAGACACCAGGGGCCAGTATCACAAAGCCAGATTTCTCACTTATCTGGATAACTTTTTGGATTTAAGGTACCGCAGTTAAAATGGCTTTTATCTTCATTCACTTGCATTTAGCCCTGGCTACCTTAAATCCGTCAAGTTATCCGACTAAACAATACAGTACAACCTATAAAACAAACTGAAGACAATAGAACATGTGTTTGTATATATTGTGTATTTAAGGCTATTTTCAGCCCTTTAAAATAACTGATACTAAAAGCTATTGTGGATGAGGGAATTAAGATGTTGGTCATACCCTCCAACCTACACCAGATAATCAGCTGGAAGCTGGATGAATGTTCTTGTAATAACTAAAAGTGAAGAGAATTTACATCATTTCAATTTTCCTGTCAGTCCTAGATATGACAATAAGGTAGTAGTAGCAGCAGTATTAGGAGTAATAGTAATAGTAATAATAATAATAATTAAAGTGAAAACAGTCATTAAGACTCTGAGAAAGCCAATCAAAATAATTGAGTGGGTAGATTCATCTATATATTTGCCCCATCAGCGGTTTCTCAGAATGAATCCGTAATGGACATACACGCGCACCAGCCACAATAAAAGCAATTTTATTGAGTCTCATTCAGCCTGTTTGGCAGAAAACGCATCCAGTCGTGTTTTGATGCTTCAGAATGGAAATGTGAAGGGACTCACTGGCCCCTCAGCCATACCTACCCCCCCCCAATCTTATGGGCCTGAGATCTCCACCTGGATGCGCCCAGGGCACCTCGGCAGCGAGGAGAGGAGAGGCTGCTGGCCTCTAACCAGGGTTGTGGGATTTTCCCCCTTGAAGACACGGTGACCAGTGACAAGGGGTCCAACCAGGTCCAGCATGAGGTTAACGACCCCCACCCCACCCCACCAACCTCTGGACAAGCTGTGGAACCCAGATCCCACATGGTGGCTTACATGAGAACCCCCATAATGCTCCCTGCCAAGCACACACATATTCCAGGTTATTTTAGGTCTCTGCTTTTTCTTTCAGGGTGGGATCGTAAAGGCAGATAACCGGAAGATGTATGCCGCCCATTAGAGTAATTAATCGTTGTCGACAGCAACAAAGCAAGGGTCCTCTTGGTCATTAGCATTCAGTTTCGACTCCAGCACTGAGGGAAAGCTTGAGTGTGTCTTTTAAAAAGCCATTTAAATGGGACGGCAAATTATATCAAATTAGCATAATTGTTCTCTGGTGTTACTACCTTGTTGCCCCCCCCCACCCCAGTTGCGCTCGTACTCCTTCGCTTAAGGAGACGGAGCGCTCCCCCGTGAAGACGGGCGGTGTGCATTCTTCTTCGAGACGGGTGTGATGCGTAGACAGCACATGGGCCATGGGACCGTGTGATCCAGGGGGCGTGGCCAGATACTTGTGCTCGTCTCTCCTGGGCCTATAACCAAACACCGGGCTTCTACATCTACCTAATCTCTGCCATGCTCTCTGGAACATTCCCTCATAACTGTTTCTATACAGGCAGCCCCCCTCCCCCCGCTTCATCTGCCCGCTATTCCGACCAATGTCATCTTATTGCCCCCCCTCACTGGCTGTGTACAATGCCTCTGTTTTATCTCTGCCCCGCCAGGAATCCCCCGCCAACCCTCCGCCAGCCAGAGCTGTGGTCTGAAGATTTCAACGACTTAATCCATGGGTAAGTGGCTGTCCCCCCCCCCCTCCCCCCCCCCGTACATGTACAGGCCTCTGTGCACATCCTTGCACAAGCATGTTACTGAGTACAGAAGATGGACTTATTTAAGGGCATCACCCAGGCTTCACCGCCTCTGTCTATATGCGAGCAAAAACGTCTGCGTCCCATAACACTGGAAGTAAACATTGCGACACTTGTAATAAATTACAATTACAAAATTAGTACTTCAAGAGCTGTGTTAGGCACCCAGAAGGCAGTGTAAGGCACTTATATATAAGCCACGTGGCATCTGCGTACATGGTGTTTCACACGTTACTTCACAACAATGCGGCATGTACGATGTATTTCTTGAAAATGGTTCTCAGAAAATTCTGACATATGTAGCCGTGGTAAAATTAAGAGACCACAGCACAATTTTTTGTATCACTCATTTTTCAATTGATGAGTATGTGTCTGTGATTAATATATTATTTCTTTTGCAAACTGCAGCCTGGTTGTTCCCTGTTTCTCATTGATGAAGGGCTTCTTCCTCGCTTTATGGACCTTCAGTCCTGCTTCTAGGAGCCTGATACGAAGTATCCTAGCAGTGCACTACACACCTGCACTTAGTGTTTCCCATTCCTTTTGAAGGTCACTTGATGTCATCCTCCGATTCATGAGAATCAGCATAAGTTGACAGTCGTCTCTGGCTTCAGAAAGCTTCCCCCCTTCACCTGGCTGGTTTCTGGTTGTTCCCAGTATCTCCTGCTTCACCTTATTCTTGTGTACTGCTGTCTTAGAAATTTTGAACCTGGAAGCAACCTGCTGCTCAGCACAGCCTTTTGACAGCAGAACCACAATTAAACCAGGATTTATCAATGCAGATATATTTAAAAATATATAGTGGTCTCTTAATTTTTTCCACGGCTGTAAATCTCTCCTCACTTAACAACCTACCTGTTTAATGATCGCCGAGACTTACGACCAGCTCTCTGACCAGTCAGTATCGTATGCTGTATGAGTACTTTGGTCATGGAAATTGCAGCACGTCGTCTCAAAGTCAAGCATCTCATCTCGCATCACCCTTTCTCAGTCTCAGTCTTGTTCCCGCAGTTGCTCAGCATTCACTACACTAGCGTTCGCAATCTCCAAGACTGCATATTTTGTCTAGAATTTTGTACTTGTGCACATTAAAGGTGACATTAAAATAATATTTAAAGATGGTTGACCAACTACCAGTACAGTATGCTTGGTTAAGGGGAGTCTCCTTGCTTATCAACGAACTTGCTTAATGACCTAGTCATTGGAACGGAACTCGGTCGTTAAGTTAGGAGTGTCTGTACTGGTGTGATCCACAAGTATAAGTTAATCCTTGACAGTTAATCCTTGTTAGACAGCTGTGTTTGTTGACTTCACTGAAGGTTCAGTCATTTGAGCACTCCGTTTTGAAAAGGCCTTTGCGGCATCGGTCCTGCATCTTCTGATCTGCATCTAGGAGATGTTTTGATGTGTTTTTTTGTGTGTCCTGCCACTCGCAGATGCCTGATAAAGGATTTTGAGCTGCGCCCACATGTCCTTGACCTCCTCCAGCATGTCTTCATCAAGCAGATCGACGGCAAGAAGAGGCTCCTCCAGACGCAGCTGATGGAGCTCATTGATCTCAACCAACAGATGGGCGTGATCGAGAAGACCAGGTACCTCTCCCGTCGATTGCCGTCACGGCTGACCGGCACCCGGCGGATGGTGCTTAATTAATCCTTTGAAAGTCCTCCCAAGCCATTTGGCTGTGGTCAGCTGACCTCAATGAGAGCAACATCATGAAATCCATCATCTTAAAGTTCCATGCATTTCATTTTTAACTACATTTTTAAACACTTTTAAGGCTTCACCATAGTTCTGCTTTTAACCTTATATGTGCTCTTATACCAGTATAAGCCTCATTAATCCAGATACCTTTGAAATGTCTCTGACATCCCTCATTGTCTTTAAAAGGGGCAGCTTCCTCATAATCACAACTATGAGGTCTGATCCTACGCTCCATGTTTAATTAAACATGTGCGATACCACGGTGCGCTCTAAGTAATGTAACAAGCGGCAGAGCACGGCAGCGGAGGAAGGGTATCACATTTTCCCTGCCGTTCTGGGAGTTTCTTGACTTATTCACCATGATCCCGACGTCCCAAGAAGATGCCGTGGTCCGAGGCATTTGTGGCCGTCATCCAGGGCTCAGTATGGGTCAGTCAGCTCTGTGAAGCTCGGTGAAAGCTTATTGCGCAGGGAGGAGGAGGGGGCAGGCCAAAAAGATGTCACGTTATGTCGATGTCCTTTCTGTTATTCAAGCCAAAGCGAAACAACCGAGAGAAGCAGTAGCACCGATGACAGGTACAACGATGCCTGCTGATGTCACCCTTCACCAGGAACTTGAAGGTGTTTGAGCTCATTGATTGGGCCGTCTTTCCGTACTGTAATTTAATCTAGATCTAGTGAATAGAATCCCCACCAGAAGAACCCCCCCATCTCTCCCCGCACTGACTGGTCAATTTACACCCCAGAAACCTGTCTCATCTTTGCATTTAGCCCCTGTTCTCACACTAACCCTAAAACTACTAAGAAATGAACTGAAAATGTCCATCGATCCACTCAAATAAAATGAACTACTGCAAATAGATCATCGGCACTGTTTTTTATGTATTTTTTTTTTTTAATGGCTATGAAGGTAGAATCAAAGCAGTTTTATTTAAGTTCAATTCCTGGAGAAGATGCAGTTACAGTTCAGCAATGGTATTAAGGGCAAGGCTGCTACTGGTGTTTATCCTATAGGTACAGAAGGTTTTAGAAAGGGTCCTTCATCTCGAAGCTGTTTGAGGGGATTAGACCCAACACCCATCACATGCTATGTGGGTGCTGTGCCTACTTCAGATTGTCTTGAATAATTTTAACAATTTAAAGTTTTGTAAAACTGATTGATAAGGCTTTGCTTGTCGGCATCTTTAATCTTCACTTTATTGGCCAGCTGTGGTACTAATTTGGGTCATGTCTAGTATTTGGTTTGCAAGGGTCCATTTCGGCATCCAATAGAAAGGCTGATCCTTTGTTTGGGTGTTCCAGGCATGAGCGAATCCACACGAAGAAAGGGAGCCACATGAAGTCCTTAAGCCCCGTCCCCGACGACGTCGATGACCTCGCTGTCCTGGAAGTGCTAGACGAAGTAAGGAATTCACAACACGCCTCTGGCATGTCATGCTCTGGAAACAGTGTGCTAACAGGATGTCAACAAAGGGAAACCTAAAATAGAAATACAAGGATATTAATTACTTTTTCCTGGTGTAGAGCATTCAAACTTTTTTTGACAGGGCCCCCCTAGGCTGATATATTGGTCCCGCCCCCCCCAAAATACACACAAGATGGAATTCTGGATATGTTTCATCATATATTCTGTTTCTCTTCGTTTTAGGTGTTGCTTTGACGTCACAATTTCTTTTAACACTACGAACAGGAAGAAATTTCTCCATGATTCCTATTAGAGCATTAACTGAGCAACTTTCCCACGTAAACTTTCGTTATGTTGCTTGTTATAACAGTTTGATGTAGTCATTAAGTGGTGCCTGTCTACTTTGCACATTTTTATTATTTTGTTAGTTATCATATAATGTGTACAGATGTATAATATGTTCACATTATGTTTAACATTTCTGAAGGCTGCAATTTCAAAGTAGATCTGCCCCCCCTCCAACCCAGTTTTTTTCCCCTCACCTGTGTCTTCCTGCAGTTCCTGGGCCATGCCCCAGCATTTAAATACCTCTGCTATGGTGGATACATTCTCCAACTTCAATGTGTGGTTCAGTTATCCAAGAACATTAAATCCATGGGTCATGTTCATGCAGGAATTTCTTGAGGTTTTGAAAGACAAACCAAGTACATAGGCATGCATCAGTTTTTTTGTCTCTTAAAACAAGTAATAGCAAGTAGTGTTGATTTAATTTTCACTTAATCAATAATTACTAAATCATTAAACAATTAAACTGCGCTGCTGGCATTTTTGTGCTTTGAATTTGTTCCCTTGATTATGACAACAAAACATTAAACTGTTATTGAACAGAACTTGGGTAGATCGAACCCTGACAGGATTGCTGTCGGGCTAAAGATACTTTAAATGCCTCAGAATAAAAAATACAACAATAATTATCAACAACTATACCTTTTTTAACATCGTTTTGAATCATGCCATTCATCCTGTCTGTGACTGAGTAAAGATTAATCCAGATGGAACAATGAGCACAGCAGACCCAATTCAGCACTGTCTGGAGCATCTGAATTTCCTTCCAGAACAATACAGGATTCTGCACATAAACACAGACCATTATCATTAGGAATCAAAGCAGCGTAGCTGCTGAATCCATAATGTTTCTATGTTTCTTATTGGTTTGTTGAAGCAGAAGTAATCAAAAGGCCATTGTCAGTATTAAATATATTTAAAATGGAAAACATTGCTCTTTAAAACTTTATTAATACAAAACTTTATGAGTGCAATGCCATTTCCTCTATGGTTCCTACTTGCAGTATTGTCATGTCATGTTTTGTTTTATTTCCACTACTTCATCACTGCTGCTGTGGGACTTTGCACACAAGTGTTTCACTCACCTGCACTTACGAAGTGTCAAGAGATGTGACAAAGTGATTTGATTTAATTTGAAAGCTATGGAAGAGGCAAGGTCTCCCTGCTAGAGTTTTTCCAAAGAGAAGGAGCTGTGTATTGAAATGATAAAAATGTGACTGCAAAGCCAGGTCTTCGGAGCTGGTCTCAGATTTGCATGTAGCTCAGGACGCTAACGGTGTTCATCCCACCTCATCCTCAGAACACAGTGACGGATCAACTGCAGAAACGCTACGCCAAAGGCCAGATCTACACCTATGTGGGCGACATCCTTATCGCCGTCAACCCTTTCCGTGAGATGGACCTGTACTCTGGCGAGGTGCGCTCGCCCTTCCATTCCCTCGTCTTTCAGCTCTCGGCGGGACTCGTTAACCCCGGTGCCCCTTTGCTTGTTTCCCAGAATGCTCTGCTCTACCTCAGCCTGTACATCTAAAACTGCTGTACTTGCGTTATTTGTGCTTGGTACTCAGAGTGTAATGCACTGCACACAGCACCAGCACAGTCTTTGAACAACTGGTTGTAATAGGAGTGTGTAAGGTCAGCTGACTTTAATACAGCACTTGTCAAAGCCCATGTGTACCCTAGGCAAGCTACTCTACCGTTGCTGTTTGCCGCCTATGTCACCTAATAGGTTTACCAGTACTGCTTTAATATAAATTTCTTCATAACTCGGATTTTCTTGTTTGGTTTTTCTCAAGCAATCTGATTGATTGATATCCTGCCAGTGTGGTAGTGCTGTTTAAAATGTCCTGAGGTGACGAGTTCCTCGGAGCTATCCTCTCTCTCCTGTAGTTCCAGAAGAATTACATCGGGGCAAAGCGAACGGCGAACCCTCCCCACATCTTCGCTGCTGCCGACATCGCCTACCAGTCCATGGTGTCCTACAATTCTGACCAGGTCAATGTGGATCTTTGTGGATGCATCTCTGGTGGGAGAGCTGTGCTTAAATCCTGCTTACCTGACCTTTGACCCCACAGTGTATTGTCATAAGCGGAGAGAGTGGGGCTGGCAAGACGGAGAGTGCCCACCTGCTGGTCCAGCAGCTCACAGTGCTGGGAAAGGTGCGTCATTTCCCAAAATCCACCTTCATCTGACATGAAATGCACCAAGTTCATCTGACCATAACATTACATAGACTCTTGGAGTTATTTTCCTGTTTACCACTTGCTACTCTTATTGTTCTCAATGAGAAGCTTCAAAAAGGGTATAGGAAAGTTTATAAGAGGTCTGTGAAGGGTCATAAAGGCTATAGGAATATTTATAAGTGGTGTATGGAGGTTCATAGGTGGGTATTCCAAGCAAAGAGGCAAATCCCATCCAGGACATTTAAACTGTGTTTAAGATCTGCAGTCTGCAGATGTTAGACGGCTAAGGCCTGCATACCTTGATAAGACTGTTTGCCCCAGTAACAGCCACGCTTGACCCCAATCAGAGGAGCCCGTGGCGGATGATGAGAGCGACAGCACTGACTCCGCATGACGATGTGAAATTAGCATTTCAACTAGCCGCAGTTCATCAAATGTGATTTAATATGGACTGGATGAGAATGCATGTGCACCAGGGGGGGGGATGTCTTTTGTGATAAATTGATAAAAGGCTGAATAATTAGGCTGTATGAGATGCGAATGTAAATCATATTCTCTCTGCACATAATAGAGGGCTGAGTGTAGCTTCATATTACCTGCATATTGTTTGTCAATAGTATAAATATTTTCACGCTTCATTTGATTTATTTTAAATTATATGACTGGACGCTTAAATGTCAGATAAATATAATTTTTATATGGTTTTATTGTATCTCACTGGGGTGTTTTTCCATTTCGTCTTTCATCTTTCCAGGCGAACAACCGAACTCTTCAGGAAAAAATCCTGCTGGTGAATAACTTGGTGGAAGCTTTCGGGAACGCCCGCACGGTCATCAACGACAACTCCAGCAGGTTTGGGAAGTACCTGGAGATGAGGTTCACCAACGGCGGCACCGTAGTTGGCGCCCAGATCTCCGAGTACCTCCTGGAGAAGTCCAGGGTCATCCACCAGGCCGGGTAAGTTGGGGAGACCCTCTGCCCCCAGAGTTTTGTTCTCAAAAGTAGGCAGCAAAAGCCTGTGGTATTTGCTCACCCTGTTTCATAATAGCTCAGAATAAATGAGAAGGTATTTTTATTTGTCATTTTATATAACATGGGGTTTCTGGAGTCTAGCCGGGCTGTTTTTATAATATTAAATAAGGGACCATTTAGCCATTTTGGCGACTTTTCAAAAAATCTCTAAAACGATAAGATATTGGATTGAAATATAAAGGCAGTTGACGTGGAAAATGAGGCTTGTAAGCATATTAAGCCAACAAGATCATGCTTACATATAAATGAAAGCCGGGACTGTCAATTAAAGATTTCTGTTTCATGTTGAATCATGCCGCTAATGAGTAATCAGCAGCTTGGAGGAGTCTGCTTTCAAATTCAGATTTAACCCACTCTGCACCTGAAGTAAATCGCTTCAATTCAAACTGGCCTGCTTGATGTTCTTTCAGTTATAATGGGAAAACTCTTATTTGGTGGGAAAAGCAAGCAGGGTGAATCTCTACATCTGAACTTAAAAATCCTTTAAAAAATTAAAAAAAATTCTAGCATAGAAACCATAGAAACCATGGCCAGTTTATGGAAATAGTGCAAATAAAATATAATCAAGGAGTGTGACTGTGATTCCTAAGCAGCCATCCCCAGCCCACCCTCAAATGCCTTCTTGTTTTCACAGAGGTGAAAAGAACTTCCATATCTTCTACTACGTCTATGCCGGTTTGGCTGAGAGGAGGAAACTGGGCCACTACAAGCTGTCGGACAGCAAGACGCCAAAGTCAGCGTGCCCTTCCTGCCATCACGATTCACATGTACTGCTTGTGCTCTTTGCTCCTCGTGGTTCTTTCCTTATGGCCTCACCGTTCCTTCTTGTTTGAAGGTACCTGCAGAACGAGCAGATCAAGGTGGTACCCGACATCGTCAGCAGCACATACTACGGCGAGCAGTTTGAGGCGGTGGAGCAGTGCTTTAAAGTGATTGGCTTTTCCCTCGAGGTAGGCAGGGGTGGGGGTTGGGTGGGGGGAGACATGCTCAGATATAAATGGGGTTCTCCACCACAATTGAAAGAGGCAGATCCCAGTCCTTTTCCCATTTCCTGTGTGATTAACCTGTCTCCACCTTCACTTTCACATGCCATTACTGCATTTCAGTTACAGGGCAGCCCTGAAATCAGAGGTGTATAGAGGGGCAGGGCCACAAGCGCACTGACTCCAGCTGAAAGCTGATTGGCCCCTGGAGTACTCCTCCCCTGTCACTCATCCAATTCAAAGCATATCATTTGCTAATTATAGGGTTGGCCCCTCTGTATGAATTATGGCCCCTCTTATGCCCCTCCATCTTAAAACCATAGATTTGTCACTGTGTGAAATTTAGGAATACTGGAGTTGTGTGAATCTAGGAAATGTACGTGCAACCAAGTCTGCTTTTAGAGCTGTGGCAGTCATCAGCGGTGTTTCTGAAGAATGAGGATACACCTCCTTTATGGGGGTGGGGGGAGACCAGGGGCTGCCTGGGTCGCTGGGTGCAGTGGAGCATCTTAGCGAGCTATACATAGTACATTGCCTGTGGGACCCACACGTGCTTATCTGCGTGATCCGACGTCCCATCAAGCAGAGGCAGGACGCAGGCCCTGCAAATCGGATCCCCTATGCAGCTCTCCTGTCTGAGTATTTCTGGGTTTGGTGATTGGTTAAGCTGTTTATGTAATCTGCTGAGTAACATACAGATTTGGGTCAGAACCAGATATTAGCAGGAGAGAGACTCTATTAACATTTGTGATAAGCCAACTTTACAACTTTGCGCAGCTTTGAACGATGAACATCGTAAGTACTTGCGTTGCGATTTTGTCACGGCAACTAAATACGAATCTGCATTGCCTGTGAGCTGCTGTTTCTCCGTGACGCTTTAGGAGCTGGGGAGCGTTTACAGCATCCTGGCTGCCATCCTCAATGCCGGCGACATCGAGTTCACGTCAGTCGCCACGGAGCACCAGACAGACAAGAGCAACATCGCGAACATGGGCGTGCTGGAGAGTGGTGAGTGATGGTGACTTCGCCTACTCACCATGCCCCAGGTGTTCCTGCAAAAACGGGGTCAACCTGCCTTCTGCTATAATGAAAAAATTCACATCGACCTTTCACCCGGCGGTGGGTGTGATTGCCCATGCTGTGTGTTCGTGAATATATTCGTAACATGTCAGCCAGTGATTTTACCCAATAATTGTAAAATGTTGTAACACTTGCTCCAATCAGGATGGAAAATAGAGTTACATGTGTCCTGCCCCAGTCGTCCGCTCCTTCCGTGTGCCACGTCCCCTCGTTAACCTCATGTGGAATCCCCGTGTGATCAGCTGACTCTACTTTGGGGCAAGGAGACTAAATAGAAGCCATTTTGTATTATATTTATATGGCAGAGAGGACTGAATGGTTTGGCCCGCCCCTTTGTTCTGGGTTGTACCATTCCTGTTTCATAATGGGGGGACACATGGCTGCAGTTCTGTAAGTATCCTGACAAGCAGCGTGACCCAGATATTCTGCACGGAGCGATAATCTGCTCGCTGGCTGCCGTTTGAGATTGGATGGTGACGTGGCTGTTGACGTTTGCCCCACACCGTGCAGTGGCTTCCCTGCTGTTCATCCGGCCAGACGAACTGCAGGAGGCACTGACGTCCTACTGCGTGGTGACACGCGGCGAGACCATTGTGCGGCCCAACACAGCGGAGAAGGCAGGCGAGGTGCGGGATGCCATGGGAAAGGCACTCTACGGCCGCCTCTTCAGCTGGATCGTCAACCGCATCAACTCCTTGCTGAAACCCGATGGCCAACTCAGGTGGGGTGGGGGTGGGGGGGTGCCGGGGGGGGGGTTGGAACAGGTGAACACAGGAAGTGCTTAGGATGCAGTTAGGTCCAGGTGGTGGCCAGGTATTGAAGAGGTACAAGGAGACCCCCAGCCTGGGCCTTCTTCTAAAACATGGTTTGGTGGAGTGTAATTCAGCTGGTGATCAGAAGGTGATCGGTTCAGATCCCTGGGTCAGCAGATTGATGTCATCGTTGGGCCCTTGAGCAAGCCACACACAATATGTCCAGGGATTTTCTGACCCTGCCTTCTCAATTGAATAAAAGCTTCTACAAAATAAATAAAAATGTACGAAATCTCTGTACCTTAACGAGTTGCAAACCCTATACTGTGGGGGGCCACCGAGTTGGTGGCTCTTCAAGGACAATTTGATTCTGCTTCCTGACCACTGAACCACTCAGCTGAGCATGACATTGCTCTATAACTGAACCAGCTGCATTTCCTAGAACTGGTGTTAAGTGTGCTGGCGTATTCAGGGGCGGGGCCACACCGACACCAGCCTCATTTAACGTGCCCCTTCCCCTGTCACTCACCAAATCAAAACATATCATTGGCTAATGATAAGGTTGACCCCTCCTATGCCCCCAACTTAAAAGGCCAAGAATGGCCCCTAGAAGCAGCCCACTTGGAACTAGAGTAGGAAAAGCTGCTGTCATCTACGTCAGTGGTGTCAAACTGCAGTCCTGGGGGGCCGCAGCCCTGTGTAGCTTAGTTCTCTCCCTGTTCCACCACAAATGATTCAGCTTAAGAGCTGTGTGGTAATTAGCACAAGGGGTTGAATCAGGTGTGTTAAATGAGGGGAAACCCAAAAATGTGCAGGGCTCTGGCCCCCCAGGACTGGAGTTTGACTCCCGTGACCTGCGTCCTACATGCTGTTCCAGGAATGGCCATCCCTGGTCCTGAGGGAGAGAGACGAATCAGCACCTGGTTTATGCCTAAAAAACCAGGAGAGGTGACAGGCTGATCTAAGTATCTCCCTGATACAGCAGTTGCACGGTGAAATGATCCCTACGGAGAAGGCCGTTCCGTGATGATCCTGCAGTCACTGTTTTTGTGCTGAGATTTATTCCGTAATAATAAATAATAAAATTCAGTTCAGGTTAATGGAGTCACGCCACTAGCTAAACACAAGAGATGTTTGACCGTTCCGAAGTGACCTTCCTGCAGTCCCTGGTCACAGTGCCTGTCCGTGATGATCTATAATCACTCCTGTGATGGTTTTTAAAGAGGCACTGGCCTCTTAGCTGGTGTCTGTCTGCTTTATTCATCCAACAGATGTCTGCAATGATTGGGTCGCTCCAAGGAGTTGGGTAATTATCATAATACATAGTGCCCCTTAACTTGGCCAACAGTTCAACAATTATGATTTCCTGAAATAGAATCAACAGAATTTGGCTTCTGGGGATGCAAGTTGTACGTTTTGTATTAAGGGTTCATGGCATATATAGTAATCCTCCACCCCCACACCCCCTGGACCTCTCATAACTCAATCAAAGGGAATTTCCAGTGAAACAGTCCTGCCTTTTACATTACTGTGCCGCCACCTCCCCCTCTGTGTCTTTTGTCCCCACAGTGAGGAGGAGAAAGGATTGAACATTGGGATCCTCGACATATTCGGGTTTGAGAACTTCAAGAGGAACTCGTTTGAGCAGCTGTGCATCAACATTGCTAATGAGCAGATCCAGTTCTACTTCATCCAGCACATCTTTGCCTGGGAGCAGGTGGAGTACTTCCTGTCCAGATCCAGATTAAACTGCCCACAAGGAATATGAAAGGCCTGTGACTTCTTTCACCTTGGAATGACCTCATTTCCATCTACATAATGGCATGGAATTATGTCCTGTGTTAAGTTGGTACTAAAATTTTCAAAAGCATAAGTATATCCTCTTTGTTTTCCTGATGGGGGAGGTTAGGGTTAGGGTGCTGGGTCTGCGCCTGGCAGGTCATCATGTCAAATCCCAAGGCTGGCCAAGTGATTTCACCATTGTACCCTTGAGCAAGGCCCAGAAACTGCAGGGACAGACTGACTCTGCTTTTTCAAAAAAAATGTATGAGCCTTTGGATAAAAGCACCTGCTAACTAAATGCATGTGAAGATCGGCGCTTTTCCATGACCTTTCTTACAAGAGTGCATTCAGCCCCAGGGGGGGGGGGGAATTATTTAAGCTGTTACTCTAACATGTTTCTCATTTCACTGTGAAGCCCAACACATAGGTAAGAAAGGTTAGTTTTGTATGTAAAAAGGTTAGTTTTGTAAATAGGCTCAGTTACTAGTATTATGCCAACAGGAAGTGAGAGGTTAGTTTCCTGTTGAGAAAAGTGTTGCAGTGAAGGTCTGTGGCAGAATTAGAAATGACATAGATCACATTAAATGGGCTCAATCTGAATCAGGCCCCTGCGATGGGCTGCCCCCCCCCCCCGTCCTGGGTTGTTCCCCGCCTCGTGCCCGTAGCTTCCGGGATAGGCTCCAGACCCCCCGCGACCCAGAAGGATAAGCGGATTGAAAAATGGATGGATGGATGAATCAGGCCTGGAATTGCGTCCCCCCCCAAAAAAAATAAATCAGACTATCTCCAACACCTTTGAAAGTGCGTATCTCCTGTTCAAGGAAGTGTCATTGTGAAATTTTAGTAGTGATTGCGTTTCTTCCTATTTAAACCTTCTTATTTTAAATCTAGGATTTATTTTCCCAAAGAGATTAAAACGGGCCCAGCAAAGACGTCTGAGGAAGCAGACGCACATGGAGTGTGTTCCCTTGATTCGCATTATCTTGCTTCAGAGTGCTTCATTTGGGATTTAACTGGCCTATTCCATGGTGCCCATCTGGAAGGAGCTTGCATTGTGACTACAGAGTCACCTCACCTCAGGCTAAGCACCACATAACATTTCACTGGGTATTTTTTTTTTTTTTGGTTGGGGGGGGGGGTCATTCTAGCTATCCGCAAGGCTAGAAATAGCAGACATTTGCTTTCTTTCTTTACACCTTGTCTGCATGCGGGAGTCTGTCGACAGTTCGTCCCCAGTGTGATTTATGCGCTCCGTTTTCCCCAGCCAGTGACTGTGATTTTTATCACATCCCATAAATACCAGACAAAAGCTTGTTCTCCACACAAATTTCAGCCCCTTCCCCTGTCCAGGCCTGAGCCTCAGTAGTGCCACCCAAAACCTGTGCCACCTAAACGTCGTCTGATCCTCCATGGAGGCTTTTGTGTGACCAGCGATAACATTACAGGCTAATGCTAATGTGCTAATGGCACGTTTTCACCACTCCCACTGTACAGGATGAGTACCTGAACGAGGATGTGGACGCGCGTGTGATAGAGTATGAGGACAACCGACCGCTTCTGGACATGTTCCTGCAGAAGCCCATGGGCCTGCTCTCGCTGCTGGATGAGGAGAGCCGATTCCCCCAGGCAACAGACCAGACACTTGTGGGCAAGTTCCCCATTAGCCTGTGCTACTAGCCTGTTTTGTTAGCATGTGCTATTAGCGGCATCCCCAGTTCTCAGGTCTACCAGTTTAAGTCACGATGGGGTCGTGGATGTGAATGCGCACGGCAGACTGACAGCCCACGCAGTTGCTAGATAATTTAGTAAACTTTATATTTCTGCTACGAATCAAAGTATAGACTTGGCCGTCACTGCCGTGTTTTACCTGTTTTTAACCGTTTACAGACACAGGATTGGATATACAAATATAATCTTGAAGAAAAAAAGAATAGCGGTAAAAGGAAACCAAATAAGGTTTTATTTGAAACTACGAAATTCTAAATTAGATGTACATTTTCACAAAAATCGGGAACAATTCATGTGCCAGGAAAGAAACTTAATTTTGCTCAAAAAAGAGGGCAATCCTGGGTAAACCTGGACAGTTGGCAACCCTACAGGCCTTTGGTTCCAACTCTGTGAAGCTTGCTGTCCTTTCACACGCACAGAGGTCCTTTTCAGCACCAAGCATTCTGACTCGGTGTCACATTACAGGCACCCAAACTGAAAATATCTAAATGGTCATCAAATATTTACTACCACGCTAAGTTTACACCCGATTCCCACTTATCAAAGTGTCACATAAATATTCTACAGGCTAATGTGAGACACCATGAATTTGTTTAATCCAGTATTATCATTATCTTTTTATCCTATAACAGAATAACTCCAAGCAGATTATGTTTTTTTGAAATTTGATTTATTTCAAACCCGTAGTACGAAGACCGACGTCTTCTCATGAAAATATAATACTATGCATGCGTGTGATATCTTCTACTTTTCACTTCCTTAGAGAAGTTTGAAGACAACTTGAAGTCCAAAAATTTTTGGAGGCCAAAAAGAGTAGACTTGGCTTTTGGCATCCATCATTATGCAGGAAAGGTAACTACAATCACAGGCATCGCAGTAACAACTGCGGAAACATCACTGCTTATTGCAATAAAAGATTGATGGCTTATATATGTGTATTTTACTGAAGCTCTGTTCTCCGCAGGTCATTTATAACGCAGATGGATTTCTGGCGAAGAACAGAGATGCGCTTCCAGCCGACATCGTTCTTCTGCTCCGTTCCTCTGAAAACGAACTGATCCGCAAGCTGGTCACACACCCGCTCACCAGAATAGGTACAGTAACCCAAACTGCCAAAATAGACCACGCCCTTTATGTTCACAGACGTCCACAACACAGAGATCTTATATTCACATCCCCAGCATGAACCACGCATCCTGTGCTCCAGAATGTACCTCACAGTTCTGGATGATGTCATCAAATAAAGGATAACGTTACCAATTCAGCATCAAATTAGGAAGCAACACCACATGACTGTGAGATTCTGTTCTTCAAGTTTTGTCATCACGTGTTTCAAGGAACAGCTACAGTTGCAGGAGAGCAAACAGGTACTCGGGGGAATAATAGGACAAATAGTGAAATAAGAGACAAACCAGTGCAAGACTAAAGGCATTATTAGAAATGACAATAAATATGCAACAAATAGGTGGTACATTGGAAAAGGAAAATTAGGAGGAAGCAGATCATTTTTTGTTTAGTTTTTCATGCTGCAGTGAGTTGTGTTATTATTAATATTACTACATTGTTTACTCAGATTTTGAGGACAGAATCTCTGGGGGAGTATTGCGAACTGCTCTTGATTTTTTTCAGCATGCCTGCCTTTGTCAGGAGGCCATCGTTTTTTTGTGAGTGAGTACCCTTTGTGGGGGTAGGGGGACTGCAAATGTGCAACCAATCAAGTAGATAGCGATCACCCTTTCAAAAGCAAATCAGGCTGCAGATTTCTCTCCCTCCCTCTAAGGAAGTCACCCCATGTGACCCCGTGAAAGGAAAACAATCAAAGAAATTAATTGAAACAAGGGATAAAATAAAAACTGTTATGATACACTCTGCTCTGTTACCCTTCACTGGAAGAATCAGCCGTGCATGGGGGCATTAATCACCCTGAGGCAGCTCCCCGCTCCCCCAACCCCCATCCGTCCCAGGCCAAGCTTGTCTCTGGATATGGGGGGCTGGTACCAATTGCTATCGCTTTAAGTAAAATTTAAGCAAATGCTCATGTAAGGTAAATTTGTCAATGATCTGTCTGCAATTTGTACGTTACCTCTTAAAATAGACTAGAGCACTAGTTACAGATGATAGCTATAGGTTACTTACATTGGTATGTTTTTCTCATCTTACACTTGGTGCGTTATTTTGTTTGTTTTTTAGCCTCTTTTTTGTCTATCCAATCCGCCCGCCACTTCCTCATTCCTCTTCCTCATCTTAATTAATTCCACATCGGCCAGCAGTCACCAGATACCCCCCCCAAACTCTTATCTTGCGGACTTATCATCCCTGCTCCCGGCACACTCGGCCGCCTCTGCTGTCACGCCGTGTCGGGTTCGAACACGGTCCTGCCGAGTCAAGCACGCTGAGAATACTGGGACAATAACAGTGAGAGTTGAAATGCTTTTGGAGTGAAAGTCTTGGTTAAACATGGGAAAGAAGCTATTATTTTTGTTTTACAGTGGGTTTGTCAGACAAAACGCCATGACTTTAAGTGATACCGTTTCACAAACATAATACCTCACACTCTAATGTTAGTGGCTTTACTCCATTTAACAGAGGGTGATTACCATACATCCATTTTTGAAAGTCTGAATTCTTCAGTCAGTACCATTGTATTTTTTTGTTGAGCAGATCCATAGGCATCCACACAAATCACATATTTGGCAAATATATTCTGATTCTGAAATTAATACTAACTAAATAAAATTTGGAAACATACTAACATATTTGTTTTTACATTATGCCAGGTAGTTATTGTGATAGTTGTGGTTATTTGCTGGTGTACCAACAGCATTGAAAACCTCCTGGGATGACCCCCCCCCCCTTCTCTCTTAACATGGAAGTTTCCTTCTTTCTTTCAGGCAACCTGGCTCACACCAAGGGCAAAACGACGGGGTCCAGTCACACCCAGCCCTCCCAGCGCACCCTCAACTTCTCCAAGGTACCATCTCCTGTGCTGCTATGGGAAAAACCACTGTCTCTTACTGAGACAGATTAACTCTGTACCCCCCCATCTATCCCTCTCTTGGTGTCCCCTCATCATGACACAAATGCTAATGTCATTTGGCTCATTATCTCCCATTGTATAGCGTTTAACAATTTGGGTGCATTCGCCTCTCTGGCATTTGCATATGTATGGAGTGTGTGATTAATGAACGGGGTCCATCTGTGTTATTAACAGTGCAACCTGGTAATTCTTTATTTACGTTGAGGCGGACACAGGTGAAACTTCACATCATCCCAGAGAGACGACCAACATGAGAACGCAGACAGTAGCATCTTATTTCAGAGTAAGACACAAGTTTACTGCATTTTTTTGTAAAGGGATCAGAGTCGGATAGTACTTAGAGCAGTGGTTGCCAACCTTTTTTTAACTCACGGCCCACACAGCCAAACACATATGTTTCCGCGGCCCACTGCAAAAGAATTTAAACGATCCCGCTTTTTGTGTCGGGTTAACTAAGTACTCGGAAGCAAGGCTGTTAATTGTCTTTATTGAATAAACTGGTAATGTATTGAATAAATTTTAATTATATATCAAATTATGATTTATTTGATTTTGACTAGACATTTTTTTATTATATTAACAATATTACAATTTCTATTAATAATAATTGGCGGCCCCCCTGCAATACCGTCGGCCCACTGGTTGAAAACCACTGACTTAGAGCATTTGGGGGTGAAGGGTCCAGCTCAGGGGCCCAATGGTGAAATTTCCAACCTTGGTATTTAAACTGGGGACCTTCTGGCCGCAGGCACAGCAGCCTAACCCAATGAGCCTCACGCTGCCTCTCACCGTGCTGTGCAACACTACAGTCGAAGCTAGAAGCCCTAAAAGCACCACCTGATTGAATCGTTGCATCTTTTCCTTTGCTGAAAATCTTTCGTTCCCCCCCTTCCTGCCATGTTCCCATCCCCCAGTACTCTCTCATGGACCTGCTTTCCAAAATGGTGGCTGGGCAGCCCCATTTCGTCCGCTGTATCAAACCGAACAACGATCGTCACGCCAACAAGTTCGACCGGGAGAAGGTCCTGGTCCAGCTTCGCTACACGGGCGTCTTGGAGACTGCGAAAATCCGCAGACAGGGCTACTCCCATCGCATTCTGTTTGCCAACTTCATCAAAAGGTGAGGAGGCCAAAGACACTTCTCCAAAGGGTCTTCAGAGGTTTGTTTTATGAGTCGAATGGTTCTGCTTAGACTGTTCTTGCTACAGGTATTCATTGCTGGCCTTCAAAGCAAATGAAGAGCCCACCTTGACCCCAGAAACGTGTGCAGTCATTCTGGAGAAAATGAAACTGGAGAATTGGGTCCTGGGGAAAACAAAAGTAACACCCAAACCATTAACAAAAATGAATTTACCATCGTACAAAGTCACTGGCTAGAGAACCTAAATCTGTGGTGTGTGTGGGTTTGTGTGTCTCCGTGGTGACCAGGTGTTCCTGAAGTATTACCATGTGGAGCAGCTGAACCTGGCTGTGCGGGTCGTGACGGACCGGGTGGTCCTCCTGCAGGCGTGCGTGAAGGGCTGGCTGGGGGCCCGGAGGTACCGGAAGATTCTGGAGAAGAGGGAACAGAGCGCTGTGGTCCTACAGTCTGGTGAGCTCACTATCCGCTGATGGGATCTGTGATACCGCCAGGCCTGCTCATTGCTGTGACCTGAAAATGATTATACTCTGTTGTTCCCTGTAGGGAAAGTCTCTTTTTGCCTACCCCATCGTGTACTCCATAGGTGAGAGCAAGCTTAGCAGCAAAGGGCAGCCACCTGTAGTGGCACCCAGCAAACTGGTGGTTAAGGGCCTTGCTCAAGGGCCCACAGATGTGCTGAGCATGGCCTTGACCTAGTCACCTTCCGATCACAGGCACAGAGGCTTAGCTCTGCCCCCAACTCACACTGTAGATATTAAAATACTCTAAACAATACTTGACTCAATACTCTACTCGATACTCAATATTACTTGTCACCCTGAAATGAGCAGAAAATATTAACACTAGTTAGGTAATGACATCAACATTAATTCCTGCCTTGCTATTGTTTCCACCCTAATAATAGTAATACTATAATGCCCCCTGCCACCTAGAGAATATCCCCTGACTTAGAGGGTCCTCAGTTACACTTTGATATCGCAAACTTATTATGGCTATTTGGCTATCCGCTAACGTCATGACTATTGTTTTCATCATTAGCTTACAGGGGATACAAAGTCAGAAAGGAAGTCACCAGTGATAAGGATAAAGTGGAGGGCTTCATCATTAAGTTCCAGGCGGGTAAGATGTTCCATGATCTTTTTTGTTGTCAACAGAATCCATATATCTTTATGGTAGATGCTATGTGTGGGTCTTCCCATCCACTTTATATAGAGAGTTGAATTTATTACATTTCTGTGTCAGTTTGCAGAGGGTACCTTGCCAGGCGCCTGTTCAAGGAGCTAATCGATGAGAAGAATAAAGCTGCAGCCAAGATTCAAGCCCATTACAGGGGCCACAAGGAGAGGAAAAGCTTTAAGAGGAAAAAGTACGTCATGCTATCAGAATGATTTGGACATTCTGTGACAACTGCTGCAAATTGGACGGTTTTGCCAAACAAGCCGGTCTTTTGTGATGACGGCCCTCCTGTAGCTTTCTCCTGTCATACCTAAAAAAGGCATCTTATTTCCTTTGCAGGCTTATTTTTTTTAGCAATGACTGCAGTTGTTGAGTTGGGGTAAAGTGAGGTAAAATGGAAATGAAGCCCTGAGGTGCTTCAGTAACCCAGCTATAAATGTCACCATACTGTTCTCCCTCTAGGGAGGCCATGCAGAAAGACGACCAAACCAAGTCTGATACGGGAGAAGGTGCCCCATCGGAGACTGACATCTCAGAGGAGACCAGCCAACTAAACGGAAAAAACAAGAAAGAGGAAGCTGACCGGCAGGACTCACTAGGAGTGTCAGACAGCGAGTCCATGGATGGGTCTAAGGAACCCCCCCACAGTGAAAAGGGTACAGGGGAGGAAGTTGACCTTGAACAGGAGACCAAGGCTGCCACCGTCATCCAGAGCAACTTCCGAGGACACAAGGAGCGGAAGAAGCTCAAGGAGGAGGGGAAGATCCCTCAGAGGGGCAAAGGGGATATGACATCTCAGCAGGACAGGCCCCCTTCTCCAGGGCCAGCTGAGTCCCCAGCAGAGAAGGTCCCAGAAGATGATGACCAAGAAGAGGAGACTAAAGCCGCCGTCGTCATCCAGAGCAACTTTCGCGGTCACAAGGAACGCAAGAAGCTGCAAGAGGAGGGGAAGATACCCAATAAGAAGAAGGAGGTCAAGCAGGAGCACCAGGCAACAGATCAGGCGCTGGAGCCAGAGCCGCAACCAGAGCCAGGACCAGAACCAGAGCTGGAACTGGAACCGGAAGAAGAGCTGGAACAAGAACAGGAACCAGAGCCAGAACTGGAACTGAAGCCAGGGTCACCCAGTGAGGACCCTGATATGGATGAGGAGAAAGCTGCTACAGTGCTCCAGAGCAACTTCAGGGGCCATAAGGAGAGGAAGAGGTTGAAAGAGGAGAATGAAGTGAAAGAACAGCCTGAAAAAGCCGTGGAAGAGATACCCGAGGATACTGATGTTCCACTCGATAGTACAGAGCCACTTCAGGATGACTCAATGGACGAGGAGAAAGCTGCAGTGAAAATCCAGAGCAACTTCCGGGGCTATAAAGACCGGAAGAACTTAAAGATGACAGCACAGGAAGAGGCAGAGGAGCTGGAGCATTTTTCTAAGCAAGTAAGGAGTTGTTCTGAATTGTGTCTGAGGATGATTTCAGAATAGGCGCGGTAATGCTTTTACTACAAGATGTTCTTCTAGCATTGATGGCAGCATTGATTGGCTCCTTCTCTCCATCCTACCACAGGTAACTGAAGCATCTGAAGACTACATGGCTCTTCAGAGGAAACTGAATGAAATCATTCTGGCCCACCAGGTAAACCCATCTAGCAACGGTATGTTTATGAAAGGGAACCAGCTCAACCGTTATGCAACAAGTCAGCACCAAACAGGTATGTAGCCCTGGTTGAAGGCCTGTTCCTTTCCACTCCTCAGTCCTGACTGTTTCATATGATGTCCATATCATGCACCAAATACTATGGTTGCCTCTGAGCACCAATACTAGTGAGAGCTCTCCTTTTGTTTTCTTGTCTATCTTGAAGGCTTTTCACCCTTAGTATGTCAATTTGGTGACCTGATATGACCTACCTAAAGAGAGGGAGGTCTTTTTCAGTAGTTTTTGAATTTCCGAGCATTGAAAATAAATGTGAAATGGTTTCACTCAGACAATACCTGTATCAGCCACTGTAATGAAGAATGTTTGTTGTTGTAGCTTCTTAATGTTTGCTTGGCACATATTCAGCGAGAAAGCTCTTTGACATTTATTGGAGCAAACGCTCGCTGAAGTTTCCCTGCACACTCTTAAATGCACATGGGATATAAACTAAAGTCAGGCGAGTACGCAAACATCCCATGTGTTTTTAGATATGACTGTTATAAAGCTTGTACAGAAAACATCCCACAAAGCTTCACAGCTTCACGTGAGGAATTAAGCACATCTTTGCGTCTTCATCTGTAGGCTTATTGTAGTGTTTTTTTTTTTCTTAGTGAATGTAGCTTTATTCACTTGTTTTTCTCTGCTTTTCTTGGTACATTTCTGAGCCAGAATCAAATCAAAGTATTTAAAGGACATGTCAGGCCCTGATACAGTGGAAGACAAACCTTCCTGTCTCCCAAACTCTGCTTTTCTACAGATGATGACTGACACTTGCCTGTCTCTGGTGCAGTAAGATATTACCAAAAGTACAGATACAGTTCTGTCCATGATGTGTTTCACGACATCTTGGGGAGCCTGTGCTGTTGTTCTGTTAGTCCGTTTGTCCCATTACGTGGCATTTGTATGTCTTATATTGAACATATAATGAATGAAAGAAACTGTTTGACATGACAGATGCACTAACATTTTGTTTGGATCAGATTTCTGGGGAAATTAGAAACATTTCAGCAATCGGTTTACCATCCAAGCCCTTTTCTGATAATTTCTTAATTTAATCATGAGGTATTCGAGACTTCCATTTTAATATTTAGCACCAGTCGCTGGGCATTGCTTCCCCTGAAGTTTGAATGCCAGTAACATTGTTATCTTTGCTGGAAGGTAATGAAATAATCATGTTTCATTTAAATGGTGACGATTATAATAACCAGTCCAAGTCTCCGATTGCCATCCCCACGATTCGATATTTATGACGACCTTTTAAACGCCTCATTTGATAAATTTGCCCACCTTTCCTGCAGCCAATTAGGTTTCATGGACATTGACTGATGGTGTTTCATTATGGTGTAACGTCCACGTGAGAAAGGGATATCATACAGGGAAGGCTTCCACATGTGTGTGTACCCTCAAAAACAAATTCATATAACCACACATGACACAACCATTACGTCGGTCCATAAAGGTCACAGGATTTCATGGAACCCTTTTCAGGGGTATGTTTTGACTGACAGGAAGTGACATCCGGTTCCGTCACAGGACATAATGTGACCGGCCTGTGATTTCCTGTATGCTGAGCTACGTGTCGACTCCAAACCGTGTCCAGATTTTACTGCTTGTTTTAAAAAGCTTGCATTTCTCTTGGGGGTGATGTTTGTGCTCCCACAATGCCGATGGGCCCATGACACATCACCTGTACGTTTGCAGCTGAGCAGAAGCAGACAAGGGCGCCACGCAGGACGCAGCAACCAAAGACCCTAAACACGCCCGAGGACTCCACATACTACAACCTCATACACGTGAGTGGCTCCGTCACTCTATTGGCCGGTTACATCTCAGCTGGCCACCTGCTATGGGCTCCACAAATTCCACTTTTTAAAACACTGTCTGTCCTAGGCTAAAAAGAGAGAGAGAGAGAGAGAGAGAGAGAGAGAGAAACTTTATTAATCCCTTAGAGGAAAATTTTCTTATTATAGCAGCAATAGCAACAACATGTAACCTCATATAACACGCGTCACATAACATACATCACAACAGACATGTTTATATATAAAATTAATAATAAACAAGATTAAGTAAATAACAAATTAAAAAATAATGTACCAAGAGTACCCTAATGATGTGCAAATAATAAAGCCTATGGGCTCGGTTAAGATCAGGGCCCCAACTCACCTTGAAAAAAATGGATTGATGACTTAAACTGTCAACCCCTGAGTATCCACACTGATGTCAGCTTAGGCCTCCCTGATAGGTTAATCTGCCCCTGCTTACGTTACATTAGCAAACAAGCGGGTACCCGGAAATCTTCCCTAGCTAACAAGGGGCTTCCCTTGCTGTGTTCTGTCTGTGTGCTTTCAGAGATCAGTCCAGGATGATAAACGGCGTCCAAGGAAGCAAAGGTACCATACGTCTTTACATATGTCATGGCAGTCCATTGGGAATGAAAGGGAATGTTATTTACATTCTTAAAGGCGGTGAAGTCATGGCCCATAGTTTATTGGTTAATCTAAATTCTGGGCCACAATATCACCTTGGGTACCTAGGATAGATTCGGCCGTGCATGGGGGAGCCCCGACAGTGCATTTTGGGGCCCCGATAAAGTGCTGGCTCTCTGAATCTGCCAGGGTCTCCATGCCCCTCCCACGCCCCTGACTAAGTGAACAGTGTCAAGAGCACAGGTTTAACCACGGGGTTGCTGAGCTCTGTAATAGGTGAGGAGACCTCAGTCAAGAGGAGTCAGTTGGGGGGGGGGAGGGGTCAGGCTTCTTTTAAGGATTCCACCTGGTCAGTTCCCTAGGGAGGTGTTTGGGCATGTATGACCAGACGAAGGCCCCCCAGGGGAGACCTGGGACACACTGGAGTAATTATATCTCCTGGGCTGGTTTGGGAATCTCAGAGGACCCTGTAGAATGATCTGAAATCTGTGGTGTGTGAAAGAAAAGGCTGGATGGATGGATGGATGATGGATGTAGCAAATGGCATGAAAAATTCAGAACAATTAACTTATTATTAGTATATTTGTGTTTAGATCACACTCATTGTGTAACTTACTTGTACTCATTGTGTAACTTGTACTAGTCACCTTCTCTGTTGATAAATAACATCAGTCCTGCTGTCTGATCCCTAAGTCATTATCAGTGATTGCTTTACAGCACTGAAAAAGCATGGCTTTATGCGACAAGGACAATTAAAGACAGTTACGAAGCTTTGCCATCCGTGTGATTCAGAAAATATAGGTGTGTCCCCGCCCATAGACTATCGTGCTGGGGGGGGAGGGTGGTCGGGCTTTTAAATGGGGCCTTGAAGATTGACAGTTGGACCTGGAGGAGAAGGGCGCAGACACTGAGAGCTTTATTGCAGCAGGATGAGAGGGCGACGCTTACATCAAGGGTGATCGTTTGTTACTAGATAAATAAAGGTGGTGATGGGATGGAGGAAATAGTTGACATGCATCATTAAGAGGGTGAAGGTCAGTGAAGAAGTGGCGTCTGAAGCTGATGGTGACAGCGTGGTTTGGATGAAATGTGTGATGTGTGGCGGGGGCGGGGGGGGGGGGTGTCTGAAATGTGTTACAGTGACAGCCCATCTGCCTCATAGGCAACGATGCAAAAAGTCACTCGGGTAAAGCCATAGGGGAGCGTGGGGCATTGTGGGTAAGAAGTCTATACGCATATGCACCGTGTGGAGGCCGTCAAGTCCAAGGCCCCATAGATAACAGCAAAATGGATGCTGACCAAGAAAGACTAAACCCCCTGTCCTCCCATAATAATAAATCTGTCTGGGCAGCTTAAGAGCACTCATATAGTCTGTAACCCTAAATATATGATGATACAGATAGGTGGGATACTGATGGATGTTCTGTGATTTATTTGCGGAAATCACAAAGCATCGGTGCTCTCATGGTCCTCCCTGAGTGTCCTGCATCCCGGGTTTGATGAGCTGTGAAGCTGTGATTGTTTGGTCAGGTCTGAGTGACGTGATTGTTTGTGCAGCCTGGGGGCTGCTGGGCAACACACATTGTACATAGACAATGGTCCAGCGATCTGAAGATGACAGATAAATGAACATAGAAAGTAGAAACAAATAGCTCTGTTTGGTTCCATAAGCAAAAGATGACATCTGGTTATCCATCACCCAAAAAGCTGATAACGGCAACTTTCAGCTGAATGTTCTGATGCTGTTGATGTGCTACTCGGGATATAGGTATTACCAGCGATCACGCTGGTGGCACACAACTCCAGCACCATGGCTTCGCACACATACATTTCTAAGGTTGACATTCTTCTGCTTTTCTATGGCATCAGCAAAGGGAAGCTCCTGGACATGGATGATCCTTACTACCAGGAGCTGTCGACCAGCAAGTCCTCGCCCTCCATCTCCAGCGAGGGGACGTCCACCGACGAGAAGGCCACCCCGAGGCCGGCCTCAGAGCCAGACACACCCACAGAGAAAAGGTGTGACGTGCTCATGGCTAGTGTAACAGTAGGATATGTGTGAGTTGTCCAGTTAGCATGTAGCATTTACATCTGGTGGGACACAAAGCACAGTGGTATAGATGAGCAGATATCAGATTTGAACCTGTTATCCTGAAATGGTCATGTAACAGTAGTCAGAACAGCTGCTGATTAGGTTCTACACCTTACTTTTATATGGCCTATATGATGTGTTTGACAGTTTGATACTGGATATAAAGGGGAATAAGGAAGTGGTCCCTCAGTCTGGGTTCTTCCCTCCTTCTCATTAATTTTTGGCCCTACTTTACATTTTCTTCTCCTAATCTGTGCTGTTTATAGGCAATCCTTACCCAGAATGCCATCCACGGACAGCAATGCTGATGACAACCCCTACGACTACAGGAAGCTCCTCAGGAAGACCTCTCAAAGACAAAGGCTCATAAAACAGCACTAGTGCTGATCTAGGATCAGTGTCTGATGCTCCAGGTGGAGTTCATCCATCTGAAGTGTCTCATAAACACATCCATGAGCTGTTTCAGCCTCGCGGGCTCTGTTGAGCACTTGATGTGAATCGGTAGTGGCTTCACTGACCTCGTTAGCATTGTCATCGGCCTTGTTAGCATTGGTGCCCAAGGCAGGTGCTGACATCACAACACCAGGCCCCACCATTGGGAGGTCACACAGCTGGAGTCAACTCACTGCCTCCCGTCCAGGTCTGGAGGATGTTCACATGAGGGATGTGACTAGATGTCCAGCTGAAGGTTCTTCGTTTGAAATCTTCTGAAGCTGCTATGATAGACACAGTGGGCGGGACTTTGCGAACACTTAACTAGGAAAACCACTGGTTGAAAGTCTTTGAAGGCAGATATGTAAACCAGCTGAATCTAAAGATATTGAATGTTGGACTTCCCGGTGCACCATGTAATTGCTTAAAATGATGACATCATAAAGTCTGGCTGACTTTTTGCATGAGCCAAAGTAGGCAATCAGGACTAAACCTCATGAGATCACTTTACACAGGGATCGAAAGACCTGGACTGCAATCACTAATTAAACTTTGTAGTAATATGACACTTATGGCTGTTGTTGCCTGCTATAAAGTGATTGTTTTGTATTTTATTCTGGCATACGTGTTACTTCTTTGTGATCATGCAGTCTGTATGCATATACTTTTTGCCATATGTAGGCCTGTTTTTGCTGTGTAATTGCATGTGCTGTTTCTTTCTATCAGAAAATTACAGTGGCAGAATATATGTTTACATCCCAATTAGTAAGTAATATTTTTATGACGTAAAGAGGCAACAGAAGAAGCAGAAAATACGTTTTTGTGAGTGTACGTCACTGAGTTAAATTAACGGCTGGGTTGTTGAGAACGCATTGTCCTGCACAGGATGTATATAAATGCTGAAACGTAGAATATGTTGGCACATATAGAAACTATTCGCTGGTTTCGAAGCTGTTATAACCCTACGCAAATTTTCATGTATGACAGGTTTAACGCATTTTCAACACAGTTACGTAGCTTATTTCGCTTCAATAGGGTTTACTATGTTGTATACACTGCCGCAGTATGTTACATCCTTTGTGCCATGTTTCGTTTTAATGACTCGTAATCAAACCTTTAAACGGGGATTAAATGAGTGTAGCTGGAGAGGCAGAGAATTGCATTTTGCTGTGGTTTATATGTGTCTCCATTTGTCATCGGTTCTCATGCATCATAAACGATTTAGTGATCTAAAACAGCGATTTTTCAACCCTTTGGTCGCGATCAAAATTTGGGTCGCGGCAAGTTCTGAAAGTGTCTCGAGACAATTTATAAACGTAAGCATTTTAAAACCATTACGTTTCTGTGATGATCCGCGATCAGACTTCCCAGCTCTATCGTAGAATTAACCTAGATTATATAAACGGGTCTTGAGTATGCAAACACTTAGGGCAAAACTAGTGAACACTCAACCAATCCATGAAGCCAAACCACAGATCCTTAATTTAAAATTCACTGGCACATCCAATCAGATTTGTGCGATAGGCATTGATTGGCGTAAATTGCAGAGTGCGATGTGTGCTTGATTTTAGCGTTAATTTAAACCTATACGTGATATAGGGTCGCGATTGAGCTGGCATGGTAAAAATTGGGTCGCGGAGCAAAAAATTTTGAAAACCACTGATCTAAACGTCCTTTAGCTGTCTGGACACCGCCCAGTTTCTCCTTTCAGTGTTATTATACATATCAGAGATTCAATTTATGAAAAAAAAATTCAATGAAAAGTTTTGTACTTGGGAAATGTGTGGGACATTGTGGATTCATAATTTAAAAGTGTTTGGATTTTTCCCTGTAAATCTTCATGAGCTGTGGTCGAAATGATTTTGTGGTCAGGCATTAACATGTTAATCCAGATTCACACCAAATTAGTTTTGTCTGGTCGTAAAATACAGATTTATTAAAGTTAATGTTTTGTAGTTATTTAGACATTTCTTTGAATATTTTTGTGTTGTAATTGATCTTCGTGCCTTAACTTTTGAAAATTTTATTTAAATTGTGAAGAAAAAATATATAACACGCTTGGTTAATAAGAATGAATTGAACCGCTGAGGTATTTGAATACTTGGAAAGATGTCTTGTCCTTTTCAGTGTTACACACATCAGCGTTGGCACCATGCAGGGGAGTTTCATTAGAGGGAATTGATGGCAAACTAAATGTATACCACCACCCCCCCAAATAAATAAATTAGGCCTAATGACGCCCTTGGGTGGCACGAAACTTCGAACATAAGTTTAGGAAGACATATTACGACTTCATTGTACTACGTTCTTATCTGCAGAATCATCAGCCTATCCAAAACACTAATAATTCAAAACTGTTCACTTCATCCATTTTGGTGATTTTAATACTGAATCAATTTAGCAACCGTACTTTGCTCAAGACAACCGCGACACTGAGAAGCAGACAAGTTTAAGGAAAAATTTCGAGTTGCTTAACCATGCATTAAAATGGAGAATATTTGAATCAGATGCACACGTGAAGGTGACTAATTGTAATGCAGGAATAGTAAAATGCAGCCGCTCTGCTTACATATGCGTACAACCACCTTGGTACCGTATTGCCAGTAATCCCAGTATATCGACACGAGCTTCGTGGTCCCAGACACTACTAATCCAAATACCTGACAACCAACTGCGCGAACTATATAGACTATTTAATTTATTCATGTATACTGCCCTATACCCTCTTTATAGTCAAAAATTGTACAAAAAATGCTGGAATACTTTTAAAAGACTACCTAGCATGTACAAAATACTGTATATTTTAATTTGGTTCAGCAAATGCATTATATTTGGTTTATGAGTCTATATCAGGTCGTTTGACGTTGCGCATTTCTTCTGGTTTGTGCCACCCAGGGAGACAGAAAAAACCGTCAGATCTGTCCTCACAAGACAATCCTCAAGCAGCGCACCGCGGAGGCTGCGGATCGGTTACGGTGGGCATTGAATTTGCTCTGCCGCAAGCGCACCTGCGTTATTAATAATGATGTTGAGTTATTTTCTCCACTGGAAGGACGTGCAACCTGACAGTTTAGGGGAAAACAGCGGCGAAGTGTAGGTCTTAATCTCTTAGGACAACTTATCAGCCGAAGAAGTCAAGTGCACTTTCCTTCCAGTCGTGCACACGATGTTTTTCTCCGGAGTGGGGGACGGGAGAGAAAGAAGAGGACAACTGGCGCACATTTGCGGTCACGACTAAATACGCAATGCTGTCCGTCACGAAGCGAGTCACGCAAGAAAGTCCGCTGTGACGCGGAAATGGGTAAGCTCTACGCCAGCTACCGGCTACTTATTAAACGCTAATTGTCGGTCCTTGTGAACTCAGGATAATTTCTAAGGTGGATTCGTCATTTCAGATATTCCTCCTCCCGCAAATATTTCTATTTGCAGCGCCACGCGCACTTAACGCACGGCTGCAGAAAGTTGCATCTATGTTGATAAATCTAGGGGTGCATCGTGACATTATGCTGCGTGGTTGCGTTCAGACATTAACCTCATTAAATGCAATAAATTGCCAGTGTTAAAGAAGCGCCGTAAACGCGTCCCTGCCAAAATGCGGGTCTCGTCCGGCTGTTTGGCTGAATCAGAATTTTTCGGGCAGCCGCTGCGCAGCTACACCGCTGATGCTTTGTGTTTAATCTCCTGTGTACCTGTGGGAATCTGACCGGATAGGAGTCCTTCGGTCGAGCAGCAGACTCAGTCACTAGGTTGGTGTTTTAGTTTTTTTCTTCTCCTTCCTCTTCTTCTTTTTCGGTTTGTTGAAATCGTTTAGGTGCATCGCTGCCAGCGGGATAAACCTATAGACGCGCTGGGATCAGCACCACGACTCGGAACAGCTCCGTTCTTTCCCCCCCTCCTTTGGCGTGCTGCGGTCCGTCTGGATGGGCGCTTTTTGCCTCCGTCTCTGACTGCTGCTGAAACTACTGCGACTATTTCCGATGGCATCGCACGGGTTTTGGTCTCTTAGACCTGACGACTCGTCTGATAACAGCAGCCAGGTCCCCAATGCGAGTAAGTACAACCCAGACCGTAGCGGCTGAAATATAACGGAAAACCAAACAATTACTGTGTGAATCTAATAACTATGACTTGTCTATAGAGAATATAGTAAAATTTGATAAGAAGTAAACGATACATTCCTAAACAAACAAAAGGCATGGACAACAATAGTGCATCGGTAATAGAATATTTGCCTAATTGCCTTGCGTTCATTTTAATTTTTTAAGGTAAAAACATGTTATTAGATGATACATTATCAGCATCAATGTGCATATATATTATAATTACTGTGTACTCATACCATCACCGTTTAAACCATTCCATTTTAAAATATTAAGCTGATTTTTTTGTCTTGATTTTTATTCAGTTCAATAGAGAATATTTTTGTCTGAGTGGCAAATTTAATGTTTTATTTTCGATTTGTCTTTGTAGCAAGAGCATGGTGTCAGGCGGCTGCGCAGAAATTCACCGGCGGCATTGGGTCGAAGTTGTGTGGTATGTGTTTTAAACGTGTCATTTAACGATTGTGATCAGTTCTACAGATCGAGTATAATAATGTAATGTAATAATGTTAAATGTAGAAACAAAGACAATAATAATTGACTTCGTATTTACTTCGGTTTTCTGAAAGATAATATAACTGAAAATTAGCGCTGAAATTAATAGCTATTTGCTTCGCTTTTGAACTGCTGCTTTAGCCCTGCTCAACGTTGGAGAGAGCGACAAGTCGGCCGAATCACCCGCCAAAGAAGCCCAGTCCGGTGTAGAAACGTGCGGCTGCAACCAGCCATGCAACTGTTCGAGAACAAACCAGGGATTCTCCGATCTGTATTCAACAGGTACGGGAAATATGCGGAAATACCCATATGAAATAATACTAACACTAGCCTAATAGTACTACTACTACTACTACTACTACTAATAATAATAATAATAAGAAGAAGAAGAAGAAGAAGAAGAAGGAGAAGAAGAAAATAATAATAATAAATACATCGCAAATGAGAAACAATATAAATGGGTTTCTAAAGATTTATTTACATCTCAAAATTGATTACCCAAAATTGTTTACCGTATTTTTGTAAAATTAAATGATGTTACTATATTAAATGGTACCATACGATATATTTTTTTTCCTCATAAAATACATATTTTTAGGCCACAGTAATAGCCTATACATACGTTTTGTAAAAGCACTAATTTTTAATTTAATTGTAGGCCTATTTAGTAATCATTTTACGTTTTACGTATAATTGATATGGAAACAAAATTTTGCCCTTGATAAAATCAATGCAACAATTCATAGGCAGATTAAATAATACATACAGATTTATAGTAATATTTTAAGTATACATTCAGTTGTCTAATTGGCTCAATTTGTTCCGCAGATTTACTGCCCGCGACGAATGGGGACATGAAGACAATGACCTTCTTGCAAGAAGTTGTGGACATTTTGTTGTCGTATATACTGGAGTCGTTTGACAGGTCAACGAAAGTAATAGATTTTCATTACCCAAATGAATTGCTTCAGACCAACAACTGGGAGCTTTCGGACGAGCCGGAAACACTGGATGAAATCCTGCTGAGCTGCCGCGCGACGCTGAAATATGCCATCAAGACAGGTAGAGATGTTTATCTATTTATTCATTCGTTTTTATTTCCAAATGGCTTTTTAATTTCCCTGATAATTGTTTACATTTTATCACCAAAACTACACTATGTTTAAGCTTTAATTCCGAGTCATTACTCATTAGATTTAAAAATTAGGCAGAGGGAAATTTTGAGAGGATACGGTCCTTCGAATTTACAGCTGCGAGTTTAAAATTTCAGTAGTGATAAGTAAAAATAAAATTGGTCTATTGGCAATAATAACGAAATTCGGCTTCGAAATTGGTCTCCAAACCGCAGTGACGATAATCTACTAGCTTATTGCCGTACAAGGTTGCAAATGAAACGGAGCAAAAAGTAGGTCTAAATGAAAATTAATTACATTTACACTTAATCGGAAAAATACATTTTTATTTAGCGTTCTTATTTAGCGATCAGGTGGTCAAGTTCATTCTACACTATTTATTATTACGTGAGCATCATACAGAAAATAAAAAGTCGGCACGACATCTTCGATAACCCGCGCTGCCGGAGCACAGATAAAGGCACGAGCCCCCCCCCCCCNCTCCTCAGGAAGACCTCTCAAAGACAAAGGCTCATAAAACAGCACTAGTGCTGATCTAGGATCAGTGTCTGATGCTCCAGGTGGAGTTCATCCATGAGCTGTTTCAGCCTCGCGGGCTCTGTTGAGCACTTGATGTGAATCGGTAGTGGCTTCACTGACCTCGTTAGCATTGTCATCGGCCTTGTTAGCATTGGTGCCCAAGGCAGGTGCTGACATCACAACACCAGGCCCCACCATTGGGAGGTCACACAGCTGGAGTCAACTCACTGCCTCCCGTCCAGGTCTGGAGGATGTTCACATGAGGGATGTGACTAGATGTCCAGCTGAAGGTTCTTCGTTTGAAATCTTCTGAAGCTGCTATGATAGACACAGTGGGCGGGACTTTGCGAACACTTAACTAGGAAAACCACTGGTTGAAAGTCTTTGAAGGCAGATATGTAAACCAGCTGAATCTAAAGATATTGAATGTTGGACTTCCCGGTGCACCATGTAATTGCTTAAAATGATGACATCATAAAGTCTGGCTGACTTTTTGCATGAGCCAAAGTAGGCAATCAGGACTAAACCTCATGAGATCACTTTACACAGGGATCGAAAGACCTGGACTGCAATCACTAATTAAACTTTGTAGTAATATGACACTTATGGCTGTTGTTGCCTGCTATAAAGTGATTGTTTTGTATTTTATTCTGGCATACGTGTTACTTCTTTGTGATCATGCAGTCTGTATGCATATACTTTTTGCCATATGTAGGCCTGTTTTTGCTGTGTAATTGCATGTGCTGTTTCTTTCTATCAGAAAATTACAGTGGCAGAATATATGTTTACATCCCAATTAGTAAGTAATATTTTTATGACGTAAAGAGGCAACAGAAGAAGCAGAAAATACGTTTTTGTGAGTGTACGTCACTGAGTTAAATTAACGGCTGGGTTGTTGAGAACGCATTGTCCTGCACAGGATGTATATAAATGCTGAAACGTAGAATATGTTGGCACATATAGAAACTATTCGCTGGTTTCGAAGCTGTTATAACCCTACGCAAATTTTCATGTATGACAGGTTTAACGCATTTTCAACACAGTTACGTAGCTTATTTCGCTTCAATAGGGTTTACTATGTTGTATACACTGCCGCAGTATGTTACATCCTTTGTGCCATGTTTCGTTTTAATGACTCGTAATCAAACCTTTAAACGGGGATTAAATGAGTGTAGCTGGAGAGGCAGAGAATTGCATTTTGCTGTGGTTTATATGTGTCTCCATTTGTCATCGGTTCTCATGCATCATAAACGATTTAGTGATCTAAAACAGCGATTTTTCAACCCTTTGGTCGCGATCAAAATTTGGGTCGCGGCAAGTTCTGAAAGTGTCTCGAGACAATTTATAAACGTAAGCATTTTAAAACCATTACGTTTCTGTGATGATCCGCGATCAGACTTCCCAGCTCTATCGTAGAATTAACCTAGATTATATAAACGGGTCTTGAGTATGCAAACACTTAGGGCAAAACTAGTGAACACTCAACCAATCCATGAAGCCAAACCACAGATCCTTAATTTAAAATTCACTGGCACATCCAATCAGATTTGTGCGATAGGCATTGATTGGCGTAAATTGCAGAGTGCGATGTGTGCTTGATTTTAGCGTTAATTTAAACCTATACGTGATATAGGGTCGCGATTGAGCTGGCATGGTAAAAATTGGGTCGCGGAGCAAAAAATTTTGAAAACCACTGATCTAAACGTCCTTTAGCTGTCTGGACACCGCCCAGTTTCTCCTTTCAGTGTTATTATACATATCAGAGATTCAATTTATGAAAAAAAAATTCAATGAAAAGTTTTGTACTTGGGAAATGTGTGGGACATTGTGGATTCATAATTTAAAAGTGTTTGGATTTTTCCCTGTAAATCTTCATGAGCTGTGGTCGAAATGATTTTGTGGTCAGGCATTAACATGTTAATCCAGATTCACACCAAATTAGTTTTGTCTGGTCGTAAAATACAGATTTATTAAAGTTAATGTTTTGTAGTTATTTAGACATTTCTTTGAATATTTTTGTGTTGTAATTGATCTTCGTGCCTTAACTTTTGAAAATTTTATTTAAATTGTGAAGAAAAAATATATAACACGCTTGGTTAATAAGAATGAATTGAACCGCTGAGGTATTTGAATACTTGGAAAGATGTCTTGTCCTTTTCAGTGTTACACACATCAGCGTTGGCACCATGCAGGGGAGTTTCATTAGAGGGAATTGATGGCAAACTAAATGTATACCACCACCCCCCCAAATAAATAAATTAGGCCTAATGACGCCCTTGGGTGGCACGAAACTTCGAACATAAGTTTAGGAAGACATATTACGACTTCATTGTACTACGTTCTTATCTGCAGAATCATCAGCCTATCCAAAACACTAATAATTCAAAACTGTTCACTTCATCCATTTTGGTGATTTTAATACTGAATCAATTTAGCAACCGTACTTTGCTCAAGACAACCGCGACACTGAGAAGCAGACAAGTTTAAGGAAAAATTTCGAGTTGCTTAACCATGCATTAAAATGGAGAATATTTGAATCAGATGCACACGTGAAGGTGACTAATTGTAATGCAGGAATAGTAAAATGCAGCCGCTCTGCTTACATATGCGTACAACCACCTTGGTACCGTATTGCCAGTAATCCCAGTATATCGACACGAGCTTCGTGGTCCCAGACACTACTAATCCAAATACCTGACAACCAACTGCGCGAACTATATAGACTATTTAATTTATTCATGTATACTGCCCTATACCCTCTTTATAGTCAAAAATTGTACAAAAAATGCTGGAATACTTTTAAAAGACTACCTAGCATGTACAAAATACTGTATATTTTAATTTGGTTCAGCAAATGCATTATATTTGGTTTATGAGTCTATATCAGGTCGTTTGACGTTGCGCATTTCTTCTGGTTTGTGCCACCCAGGGAGACAGAAAAAACCGTCAGATCTGTCCTCACAAGACAATCCTCAAGCAGCGCACCGCGGAGGCTGCGGATCGGTTACGGTGGGCATTGAATTTGCTCTGCCGCAAGCGCACCTGCGTTATTAATAATGATGTTGAGTTATTTTCTCCACTGGAAGGACGTGCAACCTGACAGTTTAGGGGAAAACAGCGGCGAAGTGTAGGTCTTAATCTCTTAGGACAACTTATCAGCCGAAGAAGTCAAGTGCACTTTCCTTCCAGTCGTGCACACGATGTTTTTCTCCGGAGTGGGGGACGGGAGAGAAAGAAGAGGACAACTGGCGCACATTTGCGGTCACGACTAAATACGCAATGCTGTCCGTCACGAAGCGAGTCACGCAAGAAAGTCCGCTGTGACGCGGAAATGGGTAAGCTCTACGCCAGCTACCGGCTACTTATTAAACGCTAATTGTCGGTCCTTGTGAACTCAGGATAATTTCTAAGGTGGATTCGTCATTTCAGATATTCCTCCTCCCGCAAATATTTCTATTTGCAGCGCCACGCGCACTTAACGCACGGCTGCAGAAAGTTGCATCTATGTTGATAAATCTAGGGGTGCATCGTGACATTATGCTGCGTGGTTGCGTTCAGACATTAACCTCATTAAATGCAATAAATTGCCAGTGTTAAAGAAGCGCCGTAAACGCGTCCCTGCCAAAATGCGGGTCTCGTCCGGCTGTTTGGCTGAATCAGAATTTTTCGGGCAGCCGCTGCGCAGCTACACCGCTGATGCTTTGTGTTTAATCTCCTGTGTACCTGTGGGAATCTGACCGGATAGGAGTCCTTCGGTCGAGCAGCAGACTCAGTCACTAGGTTGGTGTTTTAGTTTTTTTCTTCTCCTTCCTCTTCTTCTTTTTCGGTTTGTTGAAATCGTTTAGGTGCATCGCTGCCAGCGGGATAAACCTATAGACGCGCTGGGATCAGCACCACGACTCGGAACAGCTCCGTTCTTTCCCCCCCTCCTTTGGCGTGCTGCGGTCCGTCTGGATGGGCGCTTTTTGCCTCCGTCTCTGACTGCTGCTGAAACTACTGCGACTATTTCCGATGGCATCGCACGGGTTTTGGTCTCTTAGACCTGACGACTCGTCTGATAACAGCAGCCAGGTCCCCAATGCGAGTAAGTACAACCCAGACCGTAGCGGCTGAAATATAACGGAAAACCAAACAATTACTGTGTGAATCTAATAACTATGACTTGTCTATAGAGAATATAGTAAAATTTGATAAGAAGTAAACGATACATTCCTAAACAAACAAAAGGCATGGACAACAATAGTGCATCGGTAATAGAATATTTGCCTAATTGCCTTGCGTTCATTTTAATTTTTTAAGGTAAAAACATGTTATTAGATGATACATTATCAGCATCAATGTGCATATATATTATAATTACTGTGTACTCATACCATCACCGTTTAAACCATTCCATTTTAAAATATTAAGCTGATTTTTTTGTCTTGATTTTTATTCAGTTCAATAGAGAATATTTTTGTCTGAGTGGCAAATTTAATGTTTTATTTTCGATTTGTCTTTGTAGCAAGAGCATGGTGTCAGGCGGCTGCGCAGAAATTCACCGGCGGCATTGGGTCGAAGTTGTGTGGTATGTGTTTTAAACGTGTCATTTAACGATTGTGATCAGTTCTACAGATCGAGTATAATAATGTAATGTAATAATGTTAAATGTAGAAACAAAGACAATAATAATTGACTTCGTATTTACTTCGGTTTTCTGAAAGATAATATAACTGAAAATTAGCGCTGAAATTAATAGCTATTTGCTTCGCTTTTGAACTGCTGCTTTAGCCCTGCTCAACGTTGGAGAGAGCGACAAGTCGGCCGAATCACCCGCCAAAGAAGCCCAGTCCGGTGTAGAAACGTGCGGCTGCAACCAGCCATGCAACTGTTCGAGAACAAACCAGGGATTCTCCGATCTGTATTCAACAGGTACGGGAAATATGCGGAAATACCCATATGAAATAATACTAACACTAGCCTAATAGTACTACTACTACTACTACTACTACTAATAATAATAATAATAAGAAGAAGAAGAAGAAGAAGAAGAAGGAGAAGAAGAAAATAATAATAATAAATACATCGCAAATGAGAAACAATATAAATGGGTTTCTAAAGATTTATTTACATCTCAAAATTGATTACCCAAAATTGTTTACCGTATTTTTGTAAAATTAAATGATGTTACTATATTAAATGGTACCATACGATATATTTTTTTTCCTCATAAAATACATATTTTTAGGCCACAGTAATAGCCTATACATACGTTTTGTAAAAGCACTAATTTTTAATTTAATTGTAGGCCTATTTAGTAATCATTTTACGTTTTACGTATAATTGATATGGAAACAAAATTTTGCCCTTGATAAAATCAATGCAACAATTCATAGGCAGATTAAATAATACATACAGATTTATAGTAATATTTTAAGTATACATTCAGTTGTCTAATTGGCTCAATTTGTTCCGCAGATTTACTGCCCGCGACGAATGGGGACATGAAGACAATGACCTTCTTGCAAGAAGTTGTGGACATTTTGTTGTCGTATATACTGGAGTCGTTTGACAGGTCAACGAAAGTAATAGATTTTCATTACCCAAATGAATTGCTTCAGACCAACAACTGGGAGCTTTCGGACGAGCCGGAAACACTGGATGAAATCCTGCTGAGCTGCCGCGCGACGCTGAAATATGCCATCAAGACAGGTAGAGATGTTTATCTATTTATTCATTCGTTTTTATTTCCAAATGGCTTTTTAATTTCCCTGATAATTGTTTACATTTTATCACCAAAACTACACTATGTTTAAGCTTTAATTCCGAGTCATTACTCATTAGATTTAAAAATTAGGCAGAGGGAAATTTTGAGAGGATACGGTCCTTCGAATTTACAGCTGCGAGTTTAAAATTTCAGTAGTGATAAGTAAAAATAAAATTGGTCTATTGGCAATAATAACGAAATTCGGCTTCGAAATTGGTCTCCAAACCGCAGTGACGATAATCTACTAGCTTATTGCCGTACAAGGTTGCAAATGAAACGGAGCAAAAAGTAGGTCTAAATGAAAATTAATTACATTTACACTTAATCGGAAAAATACATTTTTATTTAGCGTTCTTATTTAGCGATCAGGTGGTCAAGTTCATTCTACACTATTTATTATTACGTGAGCATCATACAGAAAATAAAAAGTCGGCACGACATCTTCGATAACCCGCGCTGCCGGAGCACAGATAAAGGCACGAGCCCCCCCCCCCCCTATTTAATTTTCTTCATTCCCCCTCCCCCTAACCCCCCAAAAAAACATTTATGCTTTAAGTTGGGTCCCCCCCCGTATCAAACTCTCTCCTACAAGGGCGTAGTCATGCATCGTCGCATAGGCCTACTTGCGCGTACATTTTTTGTTACTTTTTTATTTGAAATACACATAAAAATTGTAAATAGGAGAAACCCTTCGCTCCCTACTTTCAAACACCTGCGAATTAAAATCGCACACATAAAATATTAAATGATCTGAAACGCAAAGCGACAACCGGAACCGTAGCAGAAACCCCCAGAACGGCGAGCCTCGTACCGTAAATGCGTTCTGGTTTGTAAAGAAGTGGCAGGTGCGCTTTCAGGCCCGCATTGTACCCGGCCCACGGCTTTGGACACCGAATGGATAAAGCTATGAATAAACTCAAGAGGCGGCCAGGCCGCCGTGAGAGCCCTTGTTAATACGAGCGTTTTATAATTCAGTCATTAGAGTTCTGCCGTTTTTTCATATCCTAGCGCACCCCAGGTATTTTAACCAGCTTTCCACCGGACTCGATATGGTGGGACTGGCGGCCGACTGGCTGACTTCTACCGCCAATACCAATATGTGAGTATGGCCAGCACCCGCTCACGGCACCAGACCTTCAGGAGACAGGGCCTTTCCTCTCTTACCTGTCTGTCACAGAGTGTAAGGCTGCGACAGCAGGAAGTAGGAAGAGTGAAACATTCAATAAGAGTGATTTTACAAGGCTTTGTATAATCTGGTGATGATGAGTGCAGAGGTGACGTGAAAGTGTTACTATTTATTAGAATGGTGTTTAGAAAAATCAGACAAATAACTTATAACAAAATTTAGTGGCATATTGACTCATTTAGGTCAAATATATCCATTTTTATCATTCTGTAAATTGGTATAAATACAGCCAATGTTTAAATTTTCAGGCTGACTTCAGTCTGGACTAATTAAACACACATTTGAAATGCAGAGGTACAGAGTATTATCAGCTGACAGCTGTGTCATTCTTAACACGTAACCATCACCAGCACCCCCAGAGAAACGTGACCACGAAGGGAAGGGAGCGGATTAAGGTTTGATGTGTGTTACCTCAGCAGACACTTTAGAATCTTCAATTACTAATTTTCTTAATCTGAGCTTTAAACTCTCTTGGTTACTCAATGGGAGTTTTGTGGTGTAACCATTACCCAACATTTCCTTAATGTTTGAGGAACGTACAGCGGGAAGCGTGAACATGAGATGCAGGTCATGGCCGGCATCTTGCCTTCCCGGTTCCTGTCTTGTAGTCATGCGCTTTGCATCTGCAGGTTCACCTATGAGGTGGCTCCCGTCTTCGTGCTGCTGGAGTATGTCACGCTGCGGAAAATGAGAGAGATCATTGGCTGGCCAGAGGGGAGGGGCGATGGCATTTTCTCACCAGGTAGGTGACCCCCCCCCCTCCCGTTTTCTCTCTGCTTGGTCCTCAGCTGTCACCACTGGTTTTCGTTTTTCAGTGGGATTGACGATGTCCCCTAGGCAATGGGGATGGGATTGTTTTCTTTTTTCCCCAAATCATGTTTCAGAACAAAGACATTATTGTCACCTTTTCCAGGTTTTGCAACCTGACATTGTCACACAATACCTCTGGGCGTTTGAGTCCTATCGCATGTGCTCTTCCTGCTCATGTGACTTTAATACAGACATACATAGCTCTGGAAAAAATTAAGAGACCACAGCAACATTTTTTTGTTTCACTCATTTCTCGATTTATGGGCATGCATCTGTGAATAATATATATATATATATATATATATATATATATATATATATATATATATATATATATATATATATATGTGTGTGTGTGTGTGCAAATTCTCATTCATGAAGGGCTTCTTCCTTGCTTTATGGGACTTCATTCCTGCTTCTAGGAGCCTGATACAAACTTGTCCTAGCAGTGCACTTCATGCCACTTAATGTTTGCCATTCCTTTTCAAGGTCACTGGACGTCATCCTCCAATTCATGAGAAACTGTCAGATAAGTTGACAGTCGTCTCTGGCATTAGAATGTCGCTTCCCCCCTTTACCTGGCTGGTTTCTGGTCGTTCCCAGTGTCTCCTGCTTCACCTTGTTTTTGTGTACTGCAGTCTTAGAGACCTTGAGCCTGGAAGCAACCTGCTGCTCAGCACAGCCTTCTTACAGCAGAACCACAATTAAACCAGGATTAAACCAGTATTTAAAAATAGAGTGTCTTTTCCACGGCTGTATGTCCAGTTTGCTCCCACATGACATTCAGCTTAACTTAAATTGCCCTTGAAGGCTAAGAGAGTGGAGGTATACATGACTGATCATGTCTGGGCACTGCGATCCCTGGGATAGCTCTCTTACTCGTGTGAATCGCCATAGAATAAGCAGCTAATCGGAATAGAAAGGAGGAATGATGTGACTTCCTCTAAGCATAAAAGCTCCATCAAGCACACATGGCACCGTGGAAAATAAGAGGTCCTGTTTAATCATCCGTCAGTGCATCTCGCATAATTGCCTATATGTGGTTGCAAGTATTCTGGAGCCAGTCGCCGGCTGGGGACACCCTGGTCAGGATGCTAATCTATCACAGTATACATACTATAGGGACAGCGGTTCACTTGAATCACGTCTATAGATCATGATTGGAAATGACACTACGGAAAGGAAGCCCTCTAAGGATTGAAGCCATGACCCCAAAGATTTGGGACAGTGATGTTACCCACTGCCCTGTAATGCACTTTCTCATTAGTGGGTAAACATTTCCCCGGAAAGGCCTGTCTGAGCATCTCCGGAGTTGGAAAGGGGTGACAGTCCTGTGTCTCCACAGGAGATCTTACAGGGCCTGTGTCATTGTCTCGCCTCTCCAGGTGGCTCCATCTCCAACATGTACGCCATGCTGCTGGCACGATTCAAGATGTTCCCGGAGGTGAAGGAGAAAGGGATGTCGTCGATCCCGAGGCTGGCTGCCTTCACGTCGGAGCATGTAGGCCCTGCTTCTCCTGCGCACTTCTTCCGAGCGCTCGCCACGCAAAATGGCCAAAGCTAAAAGCAAGAACACAGGGGCGCTGTGCAGATGATATTCATCACATGGTGCATCATGTGTTAAATCACACAGAGAGGCGCCCTGTATTTCCACCATGCCTCTGTTACATTATGGGGGTGTTCCGGCCCCTATTGTCTCCTACAAATGTGGTTCTGCCGTTCCATCCTCAGAATGTTCTAGAATATTCCATGGCAGGCAATAAACAGGAGAACAGGAACATTTTGGGACATTAAATTTGTTCAGCTGTATATCACACCATTCAAATTTCAATCAGAGACCAAAAGAATCTTTATATTAAATAGTTGAAGGATGTTCTCCATTTATGTGCAGTAATACAGGAAAATAGTTAATTCCTTCAGCATTCCTTCTCTATTATTGCATATATACACAATCCACAATTAGGTATTTCCACAGAAATAATTAACAGTATTCAGAGTAGATAGCTTGCGTTTATTGGTCAGTTCCATTCTGGGGATCAGATTTTACCCTTCTCCTTCAGAGCCATTTTTCGATAAAGAAGGGAGCCGCCGCCCTGGGAATTGGCACAGAGAGCGTCATCTGCATCAAAGTAGACGAGAGGTGCGAGGAAACTGTCGCCCGGCACCCCCCGGCACGTCACAATGGTGCGGCCCGTTTTCATGTCAAACGTCTACTTGCGGTAAAAACCTCTTTCCCCTCCACAGGGGAAAAATGATACCATCTGACCTTGAGAGACGATTGGTTGAAGCCAAGCAAAAGGTAGGGGACTGCCTGAGGGGAAAAAAACACACACAGACGGTGTAACGCTTCCATCGGTGGCATGACTCATTTCAGTATTTTCCGTTGCTGCCCCTAAGGCTCACATGGGTCCTTTTGTTCTTCATAGTCTGGAGTTTAACCAAAACAACATCCCTAGAAGCCTCTGATGTTTTGCTCTGTAATTTTTCACCAAGCCACACTCCCCCAGTTCGTGTTTAATTCGCTGCCAGAACTGAATCATTTTCTCTAATGTCTCATGTGATCTGGAACAGGCTAGTACATGTTGCAGATTGTTTAACATAGTGAATATTCATCAGCCCTTCACCTGTCAACTGTGAATTGCCAAGGAAACCGTCTGTCAACGAGAGCGCAGAGCCCTATTGTTTATGTTGGCGCCCCCTACCCATTGATGGTGTAACCACATGTTTTCTGTGACAATGCCATTGGATGTTTGCCCAGGGCTTGGTGCCCTTCTTTGTGAGCGCCACAGCCGGCACCACCGTCTATGGTGCCTTCGACCCCCTTATCGCCATCGCTGACATCTGCAAGAAGCACGGCGTCTGGATGCACGTGGATGTGAGTTCACCACCCCACCACCCACCTGCTTCTGGAACTTAGTGACAACTAGGATACTTTGTAATTTTAAATCTATGATACACCAGATAATCTATCCTTGAACTGCAACTAGTTACGTCAGAAACTGATATCTGCTGTCTAATCTATTTGCCGACTTTGCAGTCGGAACAGTCCGATGAATGTATTGACTTCCCCGTTTCCACTGTCATCTGACCTGAATACACAGCAATGGATGAATCTCCTTCACTGCAAATTAGAATAAAAACTGTAGCAGAGATATCATTATTTTCTCATTTCCTAAAAGAGCTTCTCCTGAGATCAGTGGTCATTTAGTGTGTGATTCAGTAAATAGGGGCTTCTGTTGATTGGACAGAGCGATTCTTTGTCAATGATCGCTTTTCTCGTGTTCATGTGTTTTTTCTGTAAAAAGTAGGAAAACACACTGTCCAGCACTTCGCCCTAAAACCAATACAGATGCTTTTCGCTTTGTAGTGGTTTGACTTAAAGTATTTCGACTTTACAATGAATTTCAATGTGTTCCTGGGCAGCGATATTCTGTATAATACTACCTACCCATGCCAGGTGATAGCAGCATCCACTTCCAGTCTCTGTAGCGATCGGCAGATTAAACATCACGTACAGTGTTTAACGACACATCGTACGGCGTTTTCTTCTGTTTAATCAAATAATTGTATTCATCTATTTACTTTTCAATTACTGATATTCAGTTACACTAAATATTTATTTATTTAGTCAGTGACCGTATATATATTTAGTTAGCCATTTTTGTAATCGTATTGTAGTCGTATTCGACTTACGATATTGACCACTTATGATGGGTTCATTCGAATGTAACGCCATTCTAAGTCAAGAAGCACCTGTATTTTGCTGCTAAGTTGGGAACATCTCAGTATATCTTACTTTTGACCGGAAGAACAGGGAAAGTATAATAATGATGTTAGTGGATGGTGTGGGAGGGGACAGTGGATAGCACATGCTAATGTTCATGTGCTAAATGCCTCTCACTACACAGGGTGCTTGGGGTGGAAGCCTTCTCATGTCCAGGAAGCACAGGTGGAAGCTGAATGGAGTGGAAAGGTCATTATGCTCAAAATTTTACTATCTGCGCCGGAATTACTTTCCAACCTGTTCGGTTTGCATATGTTATTTTGCTTACTTGTACCACATTTTTCTGTATTTGCTTAACCTGGAAGTAATAACCTGTCAGTCAACAGTATCAAATTCTTTGGGAATAATAAATTAATTACGTAATAATGGTGCTCTTTTCAATTTAGCAAATGTTATGGAATAAACATGACAATGGTAGAGAGATACAGCTGGAGGGGAGATTCATGGGAATGATGGTTGAATGTCGATGTCGCTGTTTACAGGGCAGATTCTGTGACCTGGAACCCCCACAAGATGATGTCAGTTCCCCTGCAATGCTCTGCGCTGCTCGTCAAGGAGGAGGTAAGCTTAGCACACATTCAAAGTCTAGCCTTCATGTTATCATGCTTCCTTAGTTAATTGGAGCTAGCTGCTTTAACCATAGCGACTATTTGTCTTTGGAGATGTTTAAAAATCTCCACATTGTGTATTTTAACAGATAAATGAAAAGCTTTTAAATAATTCTTGCATCTGAGTACCAACTGGAAGTAATAGTTGGAGGAGTCATCACCTCTTCCATTTACTGTTTCATCCATCCATCCATCCATCCATCCATTTCCTGTACCCGCATGTCCTGTGTGAGATTCATGGGCATGTTTTTTAAAGAAATATTACTAAAGGAGAGTTTGGTCTGTACCCTTACTGTTTGCTGTGGTTAACAAAAGCATTTGACTGTAAAAAGATTGCGCAGAGCAGAAGTGCTCTGTAGAGTCTCCTTCATGCTGCTCTTCAACGGCCCCTGCAGGGACTAATGGCAAACTGCAACCAGATGCATGCCTGCTACCTCTTCCAGCAAGACAAGCAGTATGACCTATCGTACGACACAGGAGACAAGGCTCTGCAGTGCGGCCGGCATGTCGACATCTTCAAGCTGTGGCTCATGTGGAGGGCCAAGGTGGGTCATGTTTGAAAATAATTAGGGTTCACTTAGCCAGTAGCCAACCCTTAGCCAATCAGCCAATGGCAGCCAAGTATATGTCAATTGCTGAATTCTTATTGGACAACCCAAAACATTAGTGCCTTGAGGGTTTCAATGCTCAGTGATATTCATCGACCGAGTTTCCCTTAACATGCGTTTTTTTTTTCCCTCCATGGTGACATGGTTCTCTTCTGGTCTCACCTGACAGTGTAGTTTAGCATTAAGTCACGAATGATCTGATTTCCCAGGCAGAGAACCTGGCAGGCAGCTGTAAGGGAGGCTTCATTGTAACGGGTCTCTCTTAGACAAAGTGCAATGACAGTATATAGTGCAAGTAAGAAAAACAAATACTGATCTGTGCTTCATTTATTCAGCCCACAACTAAACAATCGTTTGCTCTGGTTCCTTTGCTCATTTGAAACATTCCATCATTGTTTATCTTTACATCGTGTGTTGATATTGTTAATGTGTCCCCCCCCCCACGTATCCTGTCTATCCATGTATACTGTATATGTAGCTCCACAGTCTGGGGAACGTTGTTTCGCATCACTGTATGCAGTGTACTGAATGTAGCTGGTGTGGCAATCAAGCCTCACTTGACTTGACCAGATAGAATAAGGATAATGCAGACAGTGCCGTAGCCCCCACTCAGACAGACAGACACTCCCCAGCAACCTCAGATGGGCGAACAATGTTGTGTAGTTACTGAAGTCCCTGTTATTCTTCGCATTGTTTCTCTAATCTTTTCATATCACACCTTTCCTCCTGCTCCCAGGGGACCATTGGGTTCGAGGCTCAGATCGACAAGTGCCTGGAGCTTTCCGAGTACCTGTACAACCGCATCAGGAACAGGGAGGGATACCAGATGGTGTTCGATGGAAAAGTAAGTCTCCTCTTACGGCCCCACCCCATGGCGGATGATGGTAACGCAGGTTAACCATTCCGGAACCTGAGGCCGGGGATGTAACGGTCACCTCACAGCTAGCGCGACACCCCAGCATGTTTCTTTCGAGCAGGCTTCATATTTTGGGACTACGGCAGGCTTTGCTGTGGCTTTGTGTGCCAGCCTGTCGTCTGCTTTTATTCCGACGGCCCGCAATTATGCATAACGAGGCATAATTACTCCGTGCTGATATAATGAGCAGAGTGGCATCTGTGCCAAGCGAACACACAGTATGCACTAAATGTGTAGGAGAAGAAAAGCAAAATACTCCATAGCAAGCATTTGGTTTAGTGTATATTGTTGCTTTTTTTTGGGGGGGGGGGTGTTATTTTCCCGCTTTAAATCATGATTAGAATTAGAATCTTACAGAAATTGTAGGCTTCAGACAAAATATAAACAGCGCCGCATTCCACCCCCCCCCCGAAACGCCCGTGGATTGCAGTGGTGCTGGGGGGCAGGGTGCTGCTCCCCTCGCTCTCCATGCCTTCCAGCTGCCAGAAGCTCCGCCTACCAGTTCCACTTCATCCAATTGGTTGACATCACCTGGGGGGGGGAGGCTGATGGTATAACACAAAGCCACCACAGCACTACCAGGTGCATCAGAGCCCCCCACCCCCACCCCCTCAACACACACACACACACACACACAGGTTTGTAGTTATATCTTTGTGGGGACTCTCCATTCATTTGTATGGGGAAAACCCTAATCCCAACAAGACAACCGTAAGTAAACAAACAAAATACGAGACTTTTGTTTTTTTTCGTTTCTTGATTTCATTCACAGATCTTCGTGGGGACCTGAAAAATGGTCCCCACAGTTTCAAAATAACAGGGTTTTATCACATTGTGGGGAACATTTGGCCCCCACAATGTATTACAAACATGATACACACACACACACACACACACACACACACACAGGGGCTACTGTGTTGCTGTTAGTTATTGCTTTGAATAAACAGGAATATTAGGCTGTAGGAGAGCAGCGTCATGCTGTTTGGGGTGGTTAGGAATGGCCTGCTGCGGCAGGCATGTAGCACTCTGCCGATTCCTCATGCAGCCCGCCGGGGCGTGATCGACACGTCAGTCAGCGCTCTCTTTCTGTCTCATTTTGTCTTTGTGTCATGCGTATCCCCCTCCACCACAGCCTCAGCACACCAACGTTTGCTTCTGGTACCTTCCGCCTGGCATCCGCTACCTGGAGGACAAGGAGGAGAAGATGCGGCGCCTGCATAAGGTAGGACGCACCCTCCCCTCCCCAGGTACAGGGCGTTAGAGGGGCCCTACTTCATACAGAGGGGCCACCCAATTAGCAAGTGACAGGGGTGGGGGGCCCTCAAGGGGCCAGTCAGCTTTCTACTGAGGCCACTACCACTGTGGCCCCGCCCCTATATATATATATGCCTCTGCAGCCCCTCCCACCCCATTCGCTCCTGCGAAATGGCGGCGCCTCCAGAGAGGTTCTTAGGCGAGATGGACCACGTTCAGGCGACAGCTCCACACAGACGCCGGCGTTGGGAGGAGGGACCTCTGATCTGCAATTAGGGGAGCAGACAGCAATACGTGCCAGTCATACAAAAGGGCCCCTTCTGCAGCCCCTCCAACCTTGAAAAATGGCCTAAAAATAAACGGTCACGCTATACCTGCTGCAGACACCCCAATGTGCTGCCGTACTCGTTCAACCAAGCAGGCTCAAATTAACCAGCATTTGGCCCCATTAAACTCTGGGGAAAATGTTTTAACTGCAGTTTATGCACTGCAAAACCTCTCTGGCGTCTCTGCAAGGAGGGAAAATGAGGTGCGTTACGCTTTTCCTTCGCTCTAGTGCGAGGAAAATTACCCTCTTTAACAGGACACCTGCAAGGTGTTTAGATGCTTTTACTCAGTTACACAGTTAATGGTGTGTTTGTGTGTGCAAAGGTGCTTGTATTTTAATGTGTGTTTGGATGCATGGGGGGGGGGTTGTTTCAGAGGGGGGGCACTTGGAATCATCTGCGTTATTCAGATTTTCAATTTATTTAGTACAAGATAGCAGAGAACTAATTCTATAGTATAAGATAGCGTTGTTTCCATGGGAACGCACATTCTACGTGCTAGCATAAAGTTTACAGCTTAGCTCTATAGAAACATTTGTGTATCTGCGTGGCTAATTAGATTTACTTTTTTGCTTTTTTGGTCTTTATCCAGTTTCATGCTTCTGAAAATGCTGAACCAGCTAAAGCAAACAGAAATGGAACAAAATTTGAATGAAATGAAATAATTTTCAAAGGTTTAAGTATAATCTGGGCTCTGGTAATTAGTGTATCAGAAGGTACCAGAATGTTTTTTTCATTATAGAATATGTCTTTTGCTCTGTGATAATCATTAGGCCCAGTGGGCATTTCTTCGCATTATCTGTGCTTTTAATCCTGTACAGTGGGAATCGAAAAGCTTATCAGAGTATAAGAGCAAAACCAATTTAAAATACTTTGACCTGAATGCATTGGAAGATTCCGAAGGATGAAAGGCTGCAGAACTTCTGAACAGAGACAGCTAATTTCGAACATCACAATGGAAAGTCTTTAGATGGATGGAAGTCTCCTTGGCCACTCTGGCACCTGACTTTGGCTTTGAGAGAGATAACGTCAACGGCAGGAAACTCAGGTCACCTATTAAAGCAGCTTCAGTGCAAGAGTGATGATGTCACTGGTTCCTTTCACAAAGTCTCTTAGACCGTAATCAAACTGGCAGAAAATAAATTTCCTTGCTCCGATTCCCCCAAGATAAAGCGTCAACGATGCTGTGAAATCTTGGTCAACCTGGCCAGATACTGCCCTTCCATAAAGCATCTTCTGCAGCTTCACAGAGATATCTGACATTGTTTTGTGCCTCAAGACATACTGACTCAAAGATGTTTTTTGACAGTGACAATCAGATTAAAACCATAACTTTGTTCACCAGTTTGATTTGTGGCAGGCATTAGAGGCAGGTATTTAAGACTGAAATTCCTGGACTGATATTCTTGGTATTATACTCAAACCTACAAAATTTACAAGGAAAAGGAGAGGTTAACCAGTTTCCCTACTCTCCCTCCTGCAGGTGGCCCCAGTCATCAAGGCTAGGATGATGGAGTATGGGACGACCATGGTAAGCTACCAGCCGCAGGGAGATAAAGTCAACTTCTTCCGCATGGTCATCTCAAACCCCGCAGCCACTGTGGAGGATATCGACTTTCTCATCGAGGAGATCGAGCGTCTCGGACAAGACTTATGAGTAATGCACTGCTTTGTGAGAAACTTGAAATTGAAGCGTTTGTCGTGAATGTACCAGTCTGTCATGGTTGTAACTCCAAATCCAGACATATAAGTTATGAAAAACACAGATTATAGGTATATTTCCATATGGTAGTGTTGTTGTTAGCAACGTTGTCCCGAGCTGTTTTTGATGCTTTTGTCTAGCTTCCGTGTCTAATTTAGAATTTGCGATGTTTTGTCATGAATAGTTGAGGAAATATTACACTCTCAGTACAAGTCAGCTGCTCCACATTGGTGCAATTGGTTAAAAACTAAAAAAGAAAGATATATTAATTAGGAGCGATCCTTGATCTTATTCAGAAACAAACAGAACCATGCAAAGCGTATAGATTAAGAGGCCCCCACAGGTCTACTTTTGCTCCGTCCGTTGATGTTTGTAGAATGATGTCCTTGCAGGGATGAGAAAATCCTGTTTCCGAAAGCACCGGTATAAACCTTAAATAGATTCTGCATATATTACAGTAGATTGTAACTGGAGGATAAAAGATGAGGTGTCTTGCTTTGTTGTGAAGCTTGATAAACACCAGTGCAGGGATTCAGCGTCCCTGTCCTCTGAGCAAACGTTGCTGGTCGTTCCAGTGCTGGCAAGGCTCTAGGCAGATTGTGCCAATCGTGTAATAACGGTGAACTGTGCGCGGCTGTGTCGACGTGAGGGACCCGGGAAGTAGGAAATGTCTAGATACAGTGCAGAATGAACTAGAGGATGCGGACAGGTTTAACGTAAAGCGTAGTGCATAAAACCACTCACCCCATTGCAAGAGGTATTCTGGGAAAAAAGTTGCAGGCAGTTACCTTTTCTCAACACCATGAGCTCTGGAGCTGCAGATGGATCAGAGACGTGCCAATATCAGAAGCCGGGCCTCTTGCACGGCACTCAAGGGGAAAACCGACTTAACTTGCACTAAATCCGAGAGGAATGACGGGCAGCTGCACTGCCCCACAGATTTTTATACTCCTACGTCAAGCAATACGGCTCGACAGGCGTAGTGAAAGCTTCTGCATGTGACCCTGTGAGGTCACCTCCATCTGAAGTTCAAAAAGAAGCACAATTAGTCTATAAGTGTATGTTAAGGTGCCATTATTGTCTACTGTAAATATGATTTTAATCACATATCCAGGAGTCTATACATATATGTACATATATATATTTCATATTATGAGAGAATTTTGTGTGGTACTGATATTTTCTCTACTTAGTATAAATACTTGAGTTTTCCTTGTAAGCACGTCACGCTGTAGCGGCAGGCTAGTCATCCAGCGTGTCCATTGTCCGCTTCACCTATCTGGAAGGGAAGGACTCATAGTTTCTAGATGCTTCCGAGGGCATCAAACCCGACCTGAAGAAAAGCAGTGTGCAAGGTCACACCCTGCACTGCACGTTTCCAGGCACGCACTCGAAGCCATTCCTTGAAAAGGCCGGTAATACTCGCCAAAAGTTGTATGTGTAATCCGTGTTCTGTGTGTTTGTGACCGCCTGTTGCCTTGGTTACCGTTGCCGGTGTAATGTAGTCCTTTTTTCTCTGGGATCGTGCACTTTATAGTTCTGATGCGTAAGTGGTTATGTATGATGTCCATGGTTAGTCAGCGTTTGATGTAAAATTAATAGTAATCTGTGATTAGTAAAAATCTCCACTTCAGCTTCTATTGAAGATGGAAGCCTGGATTTTATTTAAAGCCTTGTGTTTGTTGTTCTGTTGCTTTTGTAGTCTGTTGGAGTAATTTGTAGATAAAAGTCACTTTATAAAGGCGAATATATATATATATATATAAATGCTGGTTGTCCTCTTCTGTTTCCAAAGCGAACATGCTTGCAGTTTTCTATGCTAGATTGGCAATCACACTTTGACATGTGTAGCTTTGCAGTAACAATGGCCGGCGACCTTCTACTTTTTGTTTTGCTGCTGCTGCTGCTTGACTTTGCTCGTTTTGCACCTGCATGAATGCCACCACCCCGCCAGCTTCAAATTAAAGCCGCCGCTTTTGCCAGCTTCAGCCAAACGCCATGCCGCTAGATCCCTTTAGTGCCCGCCCTCCCCGTTTTGACCGATGCCGCATGCCCGCCTGCCCGCCGGCCTGCCCCGCTCTGCCTCAGCCTCTCCTTTCTGCTTCCTCTAGCAGGCCTCCGCTCTGAACGTAGAAATTCGTCTGTCTCTAGATCATAGGCGTAACTCTCTTTTCGTCACCTTCTTGGCTCTCGCTCAGTGTTGTGACCTCTGCCCTTTCGCGGCTTCGAAGGCAGTGGAGCTGTTTGTTGCCACTCTAGCCCCCCTTGGCTGCCCGTTCGCTGAAGGCCGTGACGTATAAACGCCAACTTTATTGCATGAAGACAGTATGTCCCTTGTAATCATCCATCACCTGCTTCTCAGCGCTGTGTGACAGGGTAAGATTAGGACCAAAATTTTAAACAATATGCTGGCTGATGTTAGATATTTAGTTGGTTAAATCTTACTTTTTGATTCAGGGAGGATCTTGAATAGCGCTGACGTACAGGCCAGCCCCTTTGTGAAATGGTGTTTTTATTTTTCAATAGCTGTGTTAAATCTCTGGGGAACCAATAAAGGAATAAATAATAAATATCTACTTGATGAACACTGGCCCAGCCATCTTGTGGTGCTCCTTGTGTCCTTCCCGGAGCGCACTGCGTCTGAGTCGAGTCAAGCAACGCTGCGTTTGAAAAACAATATATTGCGTCCCTTGGATATTGCAATATGCACTACAGCACCTGCTCTTAAGAAGCCATATTCATTAAGGACAGACTGAATTTTGTGGCCCTTTTCACTCTGGTGACCTTCCCAAAATGCAAGAAGACACTTAGCGGAAACAAATTTAATTTCTTGCCAATTTTGGAGCCAAAAAGAGATGAAAACACTTTCAGTTAACTGGGATCGTGAGGTCTCTTCCCCTTCCCTCACATTGACAACAGACAGAGCAGCGCGTGGGCATGACTGAGTGCATTAGAGCGTGAAAGGGGCTCTCTAAGCGGCAGCAAAGACCATCAAACGGAGAAGGGTTACATAAGACCCCAGATCAACGGATGTGAGTAAACCTCTCCTCGATTGGAGTGGATCTCCGAGTGCCTGTTCAGGAAAGCAAAAAGGTTTAAAAAAAAACATCCACAGAGAAGCACTCATCATTGTATAGTGCTTCTCTACCAACCACTTGTAAGTTTTGGGCACTTAACAGCACGGCTGTTATTATTGTATGCGGTGTGTTTCCATAGCTGCTCAGCTGATCTGTGAATCATTTCTTGCTGTATTTAAACCGCTCTGTTTGAGCTCAGATCTCCTGCTGGTACAGATCTCCAGCTTCCATTACTACATCTAGCCATGAAAATGTGCTCCGCTGTGTGTAAATTTGGAAACTCAGTACTGAAGGTGAAGCTTAGCAAGTAACAAAGAAACAGCAAACCTTTTTAATGATGCGAAAGATCTAAAGTGCTGTGCTCATCTTCTTCTGTTCCACTGATTCACTTCTGATCTCTGCTGAAGTTGTGATTCATTAGAAGTCAGGTAATTATGACTGAAATCTGCTGATATTACCGAGAACAACTTCATGTGGTTTTGAGGTTGGATTCGTTTTTTTTGTAGGAAAAATGAAATATCTGTCAATCATTAAAACATTTTTCTTTCCCTGACATGTAGGATTTGGCTTAACCATGAATGTGGAGGGAATTAATTGCACAAAACTTTCTAGGCTGCAAATATAACATTTTTCTTCATTCATTTCACTCCCTTTTGGACTTTCTCTTGGCCTGTGTCTAATGTAGGTACATACCTTGCACAGCATGTAGGTATACACCATGTAGGTACACACCATGTAGATATACACAATGTAGGTACACACCAAGTAGGTACATACCATGTAGATATATACCATGTAGGTACACACCATGTAGGTACATACCATGTAGATATATACCATGTAGGTACACACCATGTAGGTACACTCTTTTTAGTTGTACCCTGTGTGGATATACACCACATAGGTACATATCGTTTGTCTCCAGACATTTGACAAGGGTGAATTTCCAGATTCAATTCATGAGCAGTTGGAGTTCTGTAGGTAAAAAATTATTTACGATTGCTGCTGCAACACTGAAGGTCGATAGTCTAAGAACAAGGGCGTAGGTTTGGTTTCAACATTGGTAGGGACCAAATCAGCCCCAAACCCCTCGTCCTCCCAGACTCACATGGTACTCCCACAGTATTGGTAGAGACATGTCTCTACTGTCCATACCCCAATCTACACCCTTTCCTATGAGCAATATTCTGTCCCTGCACGAGGACGTTATCATTATTTATGCCTCTAGGTGTCACTGTTTCCACATCCGTAAAACCTTCCGGAAAAAAAAAACGTTTCTCTGTCTCTCTCTTTCTCTCCCTTCCTCTCTCTCACTCTCTCTCTCACTCACTCACTCTCTCTCTTCTGCCAGGTCCATTCTAATGTCATATAGTTTAATGGACCTGCCTTAATTGGTTGGCTCACTGAAAATATCAGTTTGTTTATTTGCTAATTTTTCTTCAGGTCACTGATTTCCATTGCAAATCCTTATTTCCATAAACTGCAACCATCCCCCCCAGCCGAAGTGCCTTTTCATGTGCTGGAATGCCTTTGGTGGAGAACTAGAGCCAGCTTAAGCAGACCCTTCACTCCTCAGAACGCCGGGAAGCACTTCCAGATGCTGTGCCTCCTTCGGAACTGCCCTGCAGCTCCTTGCTGTTCCGTTAGGCGAGGGGGGCGTCAATCGTTCGATCGAGGTGCAGCTTTGGAGCACAGTGGTTATGGTTTTCATTGTGGGGGAGGCTATATTTATTTTCTGAAATTTGGAACAGCGCTGCTGATCACGTCACCGAGGCTGCCAAGAACAACGTAGGCCACTGCCCCACTCCCACTCACAAGCTTTGGTGGGGGGGGGGGGGGGGGGCAAAGAGTGTTTGCTCCTATGTGGCCTTCCTGCATTACAATAAACATGTCTCCACACTGTGTTCCATTAATAATAACAGTGTTATTCTGCCAGACAGTGGTTTTAATGCAATTACACAAAGGAGGCGCCGTGCTCCAATGACTGAATTCATTTCCATCATGTCAGATTAAGTTTGAAGGCATTAGTACTGTCTGACTTTGAGCTGTGTCTGTTTCAAAGGGATCAATAAAGACTTAAACGGGTGTAGGGGCCTGTGCATTGTGTAAGACATGTTACGTGTCCATTTTCAGAACAGGATCGCATGACAGAAACACCTCGAGAACGAACCATCACTGCTCCCTGGACCTGACCATCGTACCCTAGTGATCAGAATTTGTAAAGCACTCAGAACTCTTTTCTCTTCACATTTTTCCCACTCTACTTATACGTGTTCATATTGTGAATATGCCCCTACATGATTAATAAGCCCCAAATGAATCTGAACAAACCCCAAAATATTTGTTTAGCTCAGGTGTTTTTTCGACCATGCTCTCATTTTGAGATCCTTCATACACATCAAGTCTCTAGACTGAAATCCCAGCAATGGTGCTGATTTTCCTTCTTGATAATGGTTCAACAAACGAAACCTGTCAAAGCTGATGACTTATAGGGACCAATTTCACTATTATTTCATTTCAAGTAGTTCTATGGAATAAGTATTAAAGGACAGCCTTGCTGGAGAAGTAAAAGTCAAGGATGAAGAGTAAGCATGGATGATGGACATCTGAACTTTGGTGCCCCCCTTTGGCTGCTCCCAGAGATGCATTCTCCTGGACCATGTGGAAAATGTTCATCCTGTTGACTTTAGTAGAGTCAGAGGACGACCCTGGTGGATTTCAGATCTGGTGCAGATACAGGCCCTCCCGGACCTTTTGGTCTGAATGGAAGCGTCTGAGACCCAAAGCACATGCACATGTGTTTTTGGTTACCATTTCTGCGGTTACACTGCAAGTAGGACATCTAACACAATATATTACCACGGAAACAAAAACAGGACTATACCATTAACCTGTGTGCACCTGGGACGCTCTGTAAACTGCATTCATTGCATTTTTAGATTTTTTTTGAGGCAGCACCCCTTATTATGCAGAAATGTCCATGATCCACACAGACCTGTGCTGTTCAGGATCTCCGAATATCTAATTTTCCATATTGTACAGACATTACGGTATGCAGTATTTTCAAATCAACATTATTCCGTAATTTTCAAAATCCTGACCATTAAAGTTGCTGAGCGAGGGTGCGAATTATTTTGTCACAAGGATTTCAAAATACCGTGGTATGCCGTATTACATTAAATTAGTAGCAGCTTCCTAACTTCATAAAACTTTACACTGCTTGTATTTCTGTTAGTTACGATACTTCTGCCCTCTGCTGGTTTGGTGGAATATCACTGCTGTACGCATGCGTCGGCCACGACCATCTTCGCCTACGGACAAATGTATTATGAGTACGATTCTGCGCAGTTAAGTATGATTTAGGTTATGTTGAATCTTGACATTGGAACATATCTTAGGCAGTATGGGGCACCAAGCATAGGTAGACTCTTGACGGGATGGGTTAATACCGCCATAAAAATGCAGTTGCCAGCCTTAACGTATCTGTCTATAACTTGACGATCTCCAAATTGTATTCGACTTTTTAAAATACCTTGCGATCCAAATGCGCCGGGTCGTTCTGGGGTTTGATTTTAGTGTTTGTTATTTCCCTAAGTATTTCGAATTATGTTGGAAACCTTTTGTATGTTTTTAATTTGTTCTTATTTAAATTGAGGTTAAGAGTAAACATTATTTAATTTTCGCATAGACCTCACACTGTTTTTAAGCTACACATTGATAACTGGAACCCATCATGGTTATTTATTTGATTAAAAAAAACTATGTTTAGGCCAAACATCTGATTTTCACTAAACCCCTGGCTAGTGGTGAAGGCAGCATTTCCTAATCATAGGGGAAAAACGCATTAATCATGAGCGGTTGTTAAATGAAGCGATTGTCATCAACGCTGAGACCTTGTTCACTTGAAACCCATAGAGAAAAATAATAATGGCTGTAAAGACCGTATCTGTCAGCCCTACCAGAACATGAAATCATGCACGCTTACAAAAAATAATATCTCGACATTGTTTTTGTCTGAAGGTTTTTATTGCATTTCATTTTAAACCAGAAAGTGTTCGTGTTTTGAAAATGTTTGTAAGCATTAATTTGTCTAGAAAAAATGATCACGCATCATGTAATACGGACTGTGTATATTATTTGCTTTGCTGCGTGCGCTGCGTAATTTTAACCAGCTGAATGTTTTCAAGGCAACATGTGAGGATGCATCGGAAAGCCTTTTATCTCCGCGCCTGAGAGGGAAAGTAATTAACCTCGCAGCTCTCGCCGGCGCGGTTTAAAAATACAAAGAGGATCTGCATCCTTACCGCCTCGAAAGTTTCGCGCTGTCAGCGTTTTAAGTGATCTGGACCGCAGACAAGGCTCCCATTTAACTGACATCTTTTACTTTAGTGCTTCCAGAGTTGGACTGAATTGTATATGACTATGACACAGTATGAGCACACATTGAGTAAACAGGTAGAAACTAGAGAACTAGTTACCAACTTTCTGTTGAAACAGAATGCTTTGTGAAGCAGAGAGTGCTCCACAAATCAAGAGTTCTCAGTTAGCTGGGTTAACTTAAGCTAGAAGTCATGATTGGATCCAGTAGGAATGCTCCTTACCTAAACTCTTATTGGACAATTATGACTTAACTCAGCTAACTTAACTCAGTTAGCTGTTAACTCAGCTAACTGAGGAATCTTGATTTGTGGAACACCCCCCAGAATTTAGCGGGAAAACTTGACAGGTTTAAGGTACACAGTTGAAATGAACATTATCTTCGTTCACTTACATTATCCCAGATAACTTGTCAGATTTAAGGTAACCTGGCTAAGCAAGAAATACTGCTTCATGAAACAGGCCCTTAAAGATGAGATCTGCTTTTGTCTTTTTCCTGTCCATAATTAACACATTGTAGGCCAATTACTAAAAGATGCATTCATGTATCTTACTGTTTTGCATAAAATAGGCCTATTAAAATATTATTCTATATGTACCCGCTCAGTAAAGATGTGAAATTCCAGTGTGAAATGAGAGTCAGGTGCTGTTCAGGAGTTCAGTGTATGCTCCAACGCAATGTGCTTTACATTCCCCGTTTTGATTAAAGTAAGTTTTGTTGAAGACGGCCGTGTTTATTTTTCACGAGGGTGGGGGATTGTAGTTTGGCTTATGTTAATGTTTGGCTGAGGTTTTGATTGTGGATGTAGTTGTTAAGAATTAATCCAAAACTTTCCTTTAACCGCAGTAAGCGTGGGATGGTTCTGCTTGGGCGGGGGGGGGCGCCGGGGCATAGCCATAGTCTTGCATATCTTCTGGGGAACGTTTTGCTCCGTATCTTGGAAGAGAGTCCATTGTCAGTCTGTGTGGTGAACAAAACAAATGTATACTTTAAACATGCAAGTTATTATGAACCTGTTATACTGGAGAGGGTTCATGTGCTTAGGTAAATGTGTATTGCTTTAAATTAAACTTAACAAAACTCTAAGTTTATGTGTGTTGCTACATACAAACTACACAAGTTTTTCTAACTCTTAAACAAGGGCCAACTTCAAATTATTCCTTTCAACAATCAGTATATCCATGATTGCAGTCTATGAATCAGCCCCCTCTGACACACCCCCAATATTAATGAAGCAAAAAGGAGTTCAAAATAAATACATTTCTCACAAACACATCTATGAGTGATTTAAACAGCAAGGATGAAAAGGAATATGATTCCAACTGTATGCAGAGCTCATGCAGAAGTAGCAACGGTAAATTTTAAACTAATTTTAAACATATAAGCCTACTAGATAATCTTGAAAAGGAACGATCATTAAAACTGCAAATCTTGCTAAATTTCCTATAACAGAATAGGAATGTTCTATCGAAACATAAATCCCTAGTTCTCAGCAAATGTTTTCATCAAGATTTCTAAATATTGGAACTGTATTGGAAAATAGTGTTGCTTATGAAAATACCGTATAATGTCCGTATAGTATGAAGGTATCTAAAAGCCTGATCTCAGCCCAGCTGCGTTGTCAGAGATGCATGTGCATAACTTGAGAAATCAATATTAATATCACACATCACCCAGCCCTACTTAGTACTTTTTGTATTGTAACATTACACTGTCCTGTTAATTGTCTGCAGTCTGTGGAGAAGGCATTCGAGTAAGAATTTCATCTTACTTTGTACACTGTATTTGGTACATATGACACTTCTTTCTTAGCTCAGATTGAACTGGGAAGCAGAATAATCTTAAACTGCCAATACATTTTGAAGACACTGTACACAGGCAAACTATAGTGTTCTGAATATTATTTCTTTTGCCTCTGAAAATATTCACTTTTGAATATCTTCTGGTCACTCATTCTAAAAAAAAAAATTGGAGGCTACTTCTAAACACTGTGATCACTGTTGCACTTTCCGTCACTGTGCCTTAATTCCCCCTCAGGGACAAATAAAGTTCTTTGAATTTGAATTTGATAACTGTGTCATATAAATACATACTTCTGTGACAAAAGGTAACCATACTGCCCCCAAGATGTTTGGAGGTGCTGCATCTCGCATACGCGTACCCTATAATTCCACACGTAGGTGCACAATAAACACAGAATACGAAATCAACAGAATACAATTGCACGGTGGTTTATACAGCATGAAGAAATGCATTCGACGGAGCTACCGCTTAATAATTTAGACGACAGTGTTACCAGATACTCTGAAATCATAGTGTTTTTTGAGACATTTTACTGTGTGGATTTGAAATGCCTGGGATGTCCTGTTAAAATAAGCAGGTTTTCAGCTATCACAGTTAGACAGTGATGATAAACGGGATTTATATTTACATCCATGCAGACTGAGGTCATTGAGATGAATTCAAATTGGCCCGATTGGCGGATCGTTCACAGATGCTGTCGCGATTCACTGAGCGTACGAGTATTGGGGCAGGTGTGTTTCTGGAAAGCGCCTCCATTCCTGCTGTCCCCTGGAAGCAGCTGGTCGCATTTCGAGCTCCAGCCGACGTTTAACGGCGCGACATGAGCCTTTGAACCCCGTCTCATAATGTAATCCGAAACGGCGGATTTTCATGAATAGATGTCTGGGAATGTCCTGTGTTTCACCGAAAGTGAGCTACCGACGTGCTAGCTAGAGACAAATGGGCAAAGCAGCTACAGTTTAATTCAGGGTTTAGGTCTGGCAAACTCATTCATAGCCATAGCAGTGCTGTGTATAGTCAAAACCAGTGTAGTTGCAGCAGTGTGTTATATGATATGTTTTGTCAGGTAATTTAGAATTGATAATTTATGACTATATGATTATGCCATGTGGGAATTGGACAAAAAATGTTGCAAAGCCCCCTGGGATACTGGAAGACCTATACCCTCATCATTGTACATATACAATGGTTACTGGTGCTTGGTGAGATCCTGCAGTGGATGATTGAAATACACTGTAAACAGAGTTTGAATTTATGCTACAGAGTTCACCATTAGGAACCATGGCTAGATGTCTGGGGGGAGTTACCAGTGCATGTGTCTTGCGGTATGTTCCGAAATTCTCCCCGAACATATACAAAAACAAAACTCAGTCCATGAGATACATTTACGAGAAAAATTTCTGTGGACTTCTATGAGTTTTGGAAATGTAAGAAAAGTTCTTCATTGAAGTACATGAGGACTGAGTGAGTTTCAGTTCCCAGTACTGTAACATATGATGAGGAAGGCGAACTTTAGGTCATATACAGCAAATAGTTTGACCACTTTATGCAAATTCCAGTGTTTCTTCTGCGCAAGCTGATGTCAGCCCAAACTAGGAACTGGGAGCTTGTACAATATGATCTGAGGGAGAGAAAAAGCAGATGGTTTCCTGCTGTAACAGCATGCCTGCAAAGCCTTTGAGCTCATCCCCCATTTGCTGGCCTGCTCAGTCACTCTGCATTTACACCTAGCTGGCAAATGTAAATAAAGGGCCTTCGGCTAAACGCTCCCGCGTGCCCTTCAGCGGGGTAACACCACTGTGACGTGTGTTCAGCCACTTCTTTTCCCAGGGTGCCTCTCCCGCTCTCTCCTCCTCCTGTTTTCTCTCTGCCTCTCTCACTGGGATCTCACTCTATCCATCTGGCATGTCCCACACCTGCTTCTAATCTGGAAATGTGGCCTGACCTTTTCTCTACCTTATGCAGTACGCAATAACGGAAACTATTTTCCAACGCATGAAACGCAGGGTTTGTTTTTCATTCTTGACGAATACGAGAAATTGACTGTAGGTCAACACCTTTACCTTCCCTTGGGGTCAGCATGGTTTCATATATTGCATATTTCTGGGCTCAAATAGCCCTCTTTGCTTAGAACCGGTGGTGTACCTAGAAATTATGGCCCACCTGGCAAAATGTTACCTTGTCGGGGGGAGGATAGGTTTTGGGGCCCCTATGATGTACAACTCATTTTTAAAACTATAAAAAATAATGAACTAATTAGAACATTGAGTTCATATTGTTATGTGAGAGAAGAAAAGAGGGAATCTTAGACCAGCAGAAAAAAAATAGTAAACAAACCTGGGACAAATTTGGTATTGCAATAATGAAAATTAACAATACAGTAAGCGTTTTATATCTGTCAAAATAAATGTGAATTTTATTAGTTGCAAAAGGGATATGAACACTAATTACATATAGAGGTAAATAATTTCCAGACATTACCCATAAAATACTTACCATGTGTTTCAAGTCTCATAAGATGCAGTCTTATTTCTGTCCCATAAAAGCTGATAAATAAGGTCATGAGGTTGTATCGGGTGAAATCTCATGCCACTGGCAAAGCATAGCACCAGGTAACACTATTAAACTGCCAATACCTAACCACAGGGCTACACATATGTAAACATGTATGTAACTGCCCATTCCAGCTGCAGATAACCTTTGTAAACTAAACTGACATTAGTCATTGTTAAATGTCTTTTATCTGTGAAACAATGGTGTGGATTGAATATCACGCCTTTAAATTAGCTTATTTGAATTACATATGATGCATTTTTCTAATCAACTACTGTACTGTACACTTACAGTAGATTACATGAATAAAATATTTTCTTGAATGAAAACATTTTACATATTTCTTCTTAAAACATGCACACACAAAATAATGTACAATTGATACTTGGTTTGTATAGAAAATAACACACAGAAGTGAATGCAATGAAAACAGTCCTCAGATTTTGGTCAGTCATCAACCAGCCTACATGTATAGAGAAAAGAGCCCTTAGGAAAGACATTTACTTGTGAAAGAAAATGGAGTATCAGTGTTATAAAATACTGAAGTGTTTTTTTTAGATTACATCAGTAAATATGTGCATTGTACATTAGCTTTAGATAAAACACTACACCCATCCACAAGTCGCACAAACATGACAATATAAACTGAAGAAAGTGACATGATGCACGCCAAAAATGCATTTTGTGCCACATGTTGTGGTCCCAAGGACCATAAATGTGTTTCACAGCATCTTTCCGGAACCAGTTGCTGTGAATCACGCAGCCATCCAGAGGATGGAGATATCGGTGGCCCCTTCGTGAGCGATCTGGTTGACACGTCCGCGCACACAGTCAAGCGTGACAAAGACCATAGTGCCATTCTGGATCTCGAAGGAGGCCCTTAGGCCCACGCTGGTCCACTCAGTACCCTCGGGCATGTGTCCGCCCACCTGCTGGGCCAGTGGCGCCGGCTGAAGCCGATCACTGCCTTGCCGGTGAAGCGTGAGCTTCACCACGTTGCAGGAATGGATCAACTTGAGGCTGAGGCTGATGCTGGCTACGCCAGTCTCCCGAAAGACGAAGTTTCTGCTCGCCCACTGGCCGGAAGCCACCAGCTGCACCTGTGCCACTGCAGGCGTCACCTGGCGGAAAAGCAGCACCTTGTTGCGCACGGCACCCAGTGGCAGCCCCGTCTTAGAGACAGTGGCGGACAGCGCGACGGAGTTAGCAGAGGGCATCCAGATGAGGCTCATCGTGCTGATGCCGGAGTTGTCGCCAAAGTAGCGGACGTTGCACTGTGCCGGGGAGTGGATCTCGAAGCTTAGTGTGTCACCAGCATCGACCACACTGGCCCCAGACACGGAGACGGATGTGTCCCGGTAGTTCACCCCCGACTTGAACGCCTGTGTGATCTCTGAATTGGTCCCATTGGAGTTCAGGTAGGCTGCCACTGAGAAGCCGTCCCGGACACAGGTATGTCCCATGGAGTAGACAGCTTGCTGGAAAACGAACCTCACCACCCCTCTGTCAGTGAACCTCACAGCCCGGCCGTCATGCGACAGACTGACCATGTAGGGGTCCGAGATGGATGTCACCTTAAAGGTGGGCCGGTAGTTTGTCTGGTACTGCACTGACATGGATGTCTGGGCCGTCATGGCCACGGCACCCGTGTCGTGCGACAGCCAGAAGAGGCTGAAGGGTGTGATGAGCTCGTAGACGTGAACGTCCTTGCTCTGGTTGCAGTACTGGTTGGGGCTCTTCAGGGACAGGGACAGCATGTGCTCCGGCTCCACTTCTGCCGTGCCGCTCACACTCACGCTCTGGTAGTACTTCCCTTCTGGTTGCTCGACCCGCGCCCCGCTGAGCTCCAGGCCCTCCTCACTGTTGTTCATCCGTACGGAGACCTGGAGGAAGTTCCTGCAGCTGTGTCTCAGGGCAAAGTTAAAGTCGCCCCACAGCAGGCCATGCTGCTGGAACACCAGGCTTCCGTCCGTGTTGGATAGCAGGCCGTGGCTCTCCTCCTTCCCCTGGATGCTGAGCTGCATGCCGGGGTAGATGTGCCCGGCAGACTCCTTAGCCAAGGGCAGGAGGACCGCCGCGGCCCAAGCCCGGGACAGCCTGTTCTCAGAGGGTGCGCCACACACAGTGTCGCTGACCAATGAGCAGGCCAAGGCTACCGACTCCCCGTCGCAATCAGAACACGCCTGGCACTCCTGAAGCTCCATGTTGTAGAAGTAGTCGTGTCCACATAAACCGGCACTGGCATCCCTCTCAGAGACACCCAAGCACCTGAATCCACCTGTTCAACACACCCCAACCAAGAGGTCAGTCATGGTTCAGTGCTGCTCAAGGTCCACGTGGCGCCCTAGGCAAGCTTCACAATCCAGGACAAAGAGAAATTGGCTTGATAAGTTAGCACTGAAGATGATGCCCTAGGCAGCCGCCTATGTGAACTAATGTGTTGATCAACAGTGGTGAAGTTGTGTTTTCCTTATAAGAAGGTCGTATAAGACCTTCTTTTACAGGGAGCTGTCTGTCTGCCCTTTCTGAAGCCCACACACCTGTACCTGCATGTGAGACCTACCTGGAGTGTTGAGGCATTTGACTCGTTCGCCACAGAGGTTTGGTAATTCAAGGCATTCATCTCTGTCCTGCAGAGAAACGTAGCTCGGTTACAGTTGCCAATGTGCCACCTAACAATGGAAAACCAAGTAAACTCGGAATTTCGGAGAGCTGGAAAAACAGAAAGGAGGCAGAACCTCTTCCCCCGACTCGGGTTGAGCCGGTCTCAGGACATGGACGGGATTACCTGGCAAATGCGGTCAGCGTTCAGCGAACATTGCGACACCAGGAAGAAGCCAGGAGGGCACATGGTGCACCTCGCGCACTGGGGGGGCTCCCTCTGAAAATCGCAGTACTCCTCGGGCTCGCAGGCTCCGCAGTGCTGCGGTGCTGATGGTAGGGACCCGATATCCATCACCTTGGCGTCCACGTCCACCTTGTGCACAGCATAGGACTTCTGCAGGTGGCTCTCGAAGTAGCTCTGGATGTCGCCTTGGAGACCCTGCGGCGACACCTGCTTCAGCATCTCAGTCAGCGTCCCATATTGCACCTTGACCGCTGCCAGCTGCTCCAGCATCTCCTGCTGCTGCTGCAGGATCTCACGCTGCTGGCCAATCAGGGCGCTCTGCTGCTCCGCCAGCCGCTGCTGCAGCTCCCGGATCGCAGTGGTCTGGCTCCGCAGTGCCTCAACCAACTGCTCCTGCCCCTTAGCTAGCTGCAGCTGCAGGACCAGGGCATCCTCTGAGGGCACCTCATTCTCACCTGTGAGGACATGGGACAACGGTGACTTAGGACCTCCTTCCAGAGGTCTGCGGTGTTGGGAGCAATGAAATGTGGCAGTTTGCCTTTAAAAAGATATTACAGCTTGCTGTAAAAGTTAGCAAAGATACTTCACTGTATTAACTCAGAGAAAATCAAAAACGGGCACTAATTGCGGACTGGGGGAAGGTCCCCTCTGTAAAATTCGAAGAGGGGCATTCATAACTTAGGTGGGGGCACATTCAATCTCTCGTGAGAAAGGTGCAGTCCCCCCCCCAACACGTAACCAGGGCGCAGGGCAGAGTTGAGAGGAACATCAAAGTATTTCGTGTTGAAATTTTTCATAAGTCCTGTTCCAACAGTGAAACGCAAAACCCAAGGTGGAATCGGAGACGATTCAACACGCAAGCCAGCCCGCATCAAGCCACTTCGCCTGTCAAATGTATTCCTAGTTCAGAAGTCCCTCTCACAAATGGGAGTGTGGGGGGGGGGGGGGGGGCAACATTTTGGACGGGCTGTCAAAGCGTTCGCTGCACATGTCACATGTTAGCAATCTGTTTTTTCTTTTTTGTTTTTTTCTTTCTTTTGCTGAAGCTTATTTAGATCGGTAATTTTCTGTTAAAATAGAATACTTTCTTCTGGATTGCTAGTAGATTTCGATGTATAAGAGGTGAAGAATAATTATGTGTTATGGAGTAACTGGCGAGTCAGTTAATTGTCATAAGCTGGTTATATTTTGACACAGCGCGCTGAGAGGTTAACCTGGCTTAATGTCGCACGTAAGCTGAACTCCGAGGGGGGCACCGCCAAGATCCGACGCTGGGTATCCGAAGTCTGGAATCTCCCCCAAGAACTGGGCAGCCCTGTCCGGCACGTGGAGCAGAGGAGCCTGACTCTCTGGGTGGTCGGAACTGGCGGAGCATCCCTCTCCTGCGCACGGTCGTGTTCTGGGCTTCGGCCGTATCCTGAGCGGCAGTTTGCACTCAATCCCCCTGCAATCCGTTGTGATGTTGCTCCCTTGTCGGTGCGATGTGGCGCAGTCCGCCCCGTCACAACCCGCACCCAATCCGTCGGTGGGTCTTCCCCGGGCGCCCTGCTTGCCCATATCTCCGGCTCCACGATGAGGATTTACGATCGTAAACGGCTCTGAATGCACCCTGGTATGGCTGCTCGGATGGCCGCTGTGGTGGCTGGGAGCGATGTGTGCTGACCAGCCCTGCGTCCCTGCCGGGAACTGCCGAATGGGTCTGACAAGTCGCCCCGAGCAATGGGTCCCGGAGCAGGGCTTCTGGTCCGCGGTCCCCGCGCCGAAGCAGTGCGTTCCTCTGCATGTTTCATCAAAGCTTCTCACGTTGGCAAATGTTAAAGCGGTCCAGCAAAAGAGCAAAAGCCAGATTTTTAATGTTGTCATTTTGAAGGTGTTTCCTCCTACAATTCATGGCAAAAGTGCAGGAAAATGATTAACACATTAATGCAAACTGGTAACTTATTATTAAGAATAATACAACAATAAAAAACAGTTATAATTAAATGAATTAAATGTTTTCAATGTCTGGCATTTTGTTATTATACTGTAATAATCTGTAATCATTACAAGCTACTTTTTTTCCAAACTAAGAAGTGATATGATTTTTAATATACATGCATACATACATACAGGTCTATTTCAATACTTCGAAGATGCACAGAACAGTTTGAATAATTCATCAGAAAATAAGCTGGTAATAAGTAAATGCAATAAAAAAAACAGCAGACTATAAACAAGGGGGACTTGCCTTGAGCCTTTGGGTTACAATTCGTGAGTCCCGCGGACGTCAGTAAGGATTCAGATAACGGGACGTGTCCATGTCCCGCCGCTCGCAGCCGTATCCAGGGCTTCTGACCCAGCCTGGATGATTCCGGACGGGAACGTCAGGATGTGGCATTCCAGGGACTTAATTAGCATCAGGTTTCCCCGTCTCTACATTAACCCTCTACCTTCCTACAGGCTCGCTTGTTAAGGCTGCAGCTGGCACTGGAGCTGGGGGGTCTGGATGCTCGTTTCACCGTTTGCGCTATCAAATACACTCCGTCAGTCATTTAAAAGAGGGTTTTGCATGAAACGCACCGACGGTATAAGTATTGTGTCTTTGGTTTTTTCCAGTCCCGTTCATTTCCCAGCTAAATTAAATCAATTCGAAACGTTCTTTTGAACATATGCAAACCTTTTCACCTTAATCTCAGTTGTGTAGATTGGCATTGCTATATACTTTTCTTTGCGCACAAGTAGCCTATTGGTCCGTGGTGTGGGAAGAGCCAAACTTTAACCGTAAGTTTATTGATACAGCTGTATTCTTTTAGTTTGTGTCCTTCGTGTAGGACGTATCCTGTCAGCATGGAGCCAAGGCTTACGGATGTCACTGACCTAAGCTGGTCACCAGAGACCTCGGGTGAAGCTCAGGAATTTGCACTGGGCTGTTGAAAGATCACCGTTTTGCCTGTGCCATTTACTTTCATTATGAATGCACGTTGGTAATATAATTTTAAAGGATTGTCTGCCATTCACGTTTTGGTTCCATAGTATGGATGTGATGTTTGGGATCCCATCCATGCTCTGATGGAATAAATCTGGACTAAGTAATGACGATTTGAGAAGGTACTGATCATTATCTTAAGATAAATCACTGTAAAGCCGCTCTTCCTTCAAGGACTTCCAGTAATCGCCACATATTGACGTTTCTCTATCCAGTCCAGGATTATTCCATGGAGAATGAAGAAGAGGCACATCCACTTCGAGGTTACATGGAACCACCGCTGCCCAAAATGGGTGACACACCTGTCAACGTTTTCCTCTGAAGTATACCACCCTTTAACGGCTTAAGTATTCCGTCATTTTTTTTTATCGCGGTGTCATTTCTCAATGATTTTGGCAGCAGTGCGCCACCACCCACCGCAGATGCTACCCGAATCACACACGGTGAATGTAGCAGGGAGTCACTAGAGGGCGCCGCCATATTTCGGCACAATAAGGGCCACAATGTACTTCACGCGTTGCGACGCATACGTAACGCGTACGCAACGTAAGCAGTGTACCATGGAACTCCAAGAAGGTCAAAAACATGTCAATTTTAACACGTAGAATACGTGTAGAATACATGTTAACCACGCGTAGGTAGCGTATTCTCCGCGTCAATTTTCCACGAGTTGAAAAATTTGTTGTATTCTACATGTTAAAATTCACGTTTTATTTTATTTTATTTTTATTTTTTTACCTCACCATGATGCTTATGTGTACGTGTTTTGAGCATACAACATATATGCTCAAATGAGATGGTCTGGTAATTCCCTATTTGCATCACCAGCTGTTCCCACCCTTACCCTTTAGTCACAAAGCACCAGTCCTATCACCTACGTGTGACACACCCACTTTACCTCTGCACAATGAATCCCGGGATATGTTGGGCTGCGAAGGATCAATCAGATGGATCCTTTGTGACTCGGCAAAGGAAGGGTGCATTTCTAAACCACAATTGAAGGAGCCTTTGAAATGGGACAGCCTTCCTTTGCTGTGATGCATTCGGTCCTCGAATGTAGCCTTAGAAGGATGTAGCCTCTGAATTTTGACACAGCTACTGTACAGACCATGTCCTTGAAGGATGCTGCCCCAAAACTTGAACACAGTCCTAGTCTGGAGTTGGTACTAAAAAGGGTTCTGGAACTGCCTTCGAGGAACTACAGTCAGGTTGAGTTTCTGCATTGTGAACACAACAAAAGTTTTTGCATGGTTCTGGAAAAAGTTCCTATGGTGTGAAAGCGCCTATAGTTCCTTATAGAAAGAGAGGAGAGTACACAGGAGAGTAATACAGAGAGTCATTGACACAGCCCGAAAGATCATAGGACTTCCTCTGTCCTCACTGGAGGAATCTTCTGGACACGTTGCCTCTGCAGAATCAGCACCATCCTGAGAGACACAACTCACGCCTGCCATCACCTCTTCCCCCTGTTACCATCTGGGAGGCGCTATAGGACCCTGAAGACCCACACTACTAGGCTGAAAAACAGTTAGTTTTTTCCCCAAAGCTGTCACTGAACTGAACTCCAGTCAGACTAAAAGGAACAAGACACACTTGGTTCAATAACTGTGCAATACTATGAAAACTGTGCAATATTATGAAAAAAAATGCAAGATGTAATAATTGTGATTATGGTGCAATAACTTGGCAAAACAATGCACATCTATTTATATTTATATAGGATTTTTCCTTTTCTTTAAACTGTGTTTTTATTTTTCTTATGTTGTGGTAACTAGATATATGTACAGTTGTGTTCAGAATAATAACAATGTGTCTAAAAAAGTGAATAAAGCTGAAAATCCTTATAATAGTTTTTATTTCCATACAAGCAAATGCATTGGGAACACTACACATTCTACCCCAAATCAAAACAAGAAGAGACATTCATCACATTTGTGTTATTCTTTTACAGAAAGTAAAGGAAAGGGAATATTAGGCTGTTCAAAAAAATAGCAGTGTCCACTAGTGGTTGAACGACTTTAGATTTTTTAAAGTCGACTTTTATGTGATTGAAGTCCAGTCGACGTCGACTAGTCGCTGGTGACGTCATCATTAAAACGATGCAAAAGTTTTGCAACATGCCACAATTTGTAATTTATTGACAGGAACAAAATATACAAATGCTGTTAGACAGCTCATAACACATTGCAAAAACAATGCAACAGCACTGGCTAATTTTAGTGCCAACAAATGCACAGTCAACACAATAAACACTGCACTTACTAAAAATATAAAAACGACAAATAGTTTATGCAAAAGTAATGCATACCGTCGTCAGAACAGAACACTAATTCATATGAAGTGATTTCATAACTCTCGAACGAGAAAGGCTATAAGCCTACTCACTGTCAGAGTCCTGCTCAGTCACATAATTTACTTTTTTATCCTGGTTTGCGTGCAAGAAAATGAGGGCGTTGACATGGGCTGGATGCAGGCTCGCACGCTGTCGCGTAATTGTATTCCCAGCGAGTGAAAAGATTCTCTCGCTTGGGG